TCAAGACAGCGTTGAGGAGCGAATGATGAATATATTAAAAAATAATTAGGGAATTTCACCGAGTTAATCATGAATAACAGGGTGATTTCAAAAAACACGATTTTTTGTCATTTTCATCATCGAAAATCTTCATGATCATCCTATATATCAGCGAAATCATGTTCATACGGTATCAACTATTTTTTGGGAGGTTAACAATTCACTCGAATATACAGGATGTGTATGAATAAATCGGTCTTAGGTGTCACCAATTTTTCAAATCACCCTGTATGAAATGTATGAATTGTGATTTATGATGGAATGAGAATAGTATATTGCATGCCTGAATTATTTTTTCGATATTTCATTATTACATCGAATTTTCAGACATCACTGAAATGTTTATATGTTTCACTCTGTAAACAATTACATCATCTGAACCATCTGAATATGTTGAGTAATATGGAGGTTCTTTGATGATATGAGCGAAAAAAATTGTACTTGGCATCTTTGAATTTCGAGAAAATAATTAAATGAAAAATACCGATTTGTAACTTCAACGCCCTGTATCTCAGAATCTGTTCATCAAAGAACTTTACGATTCTGCAGGTTCAATCAGTTCATCGAATTCTACAACATACTGAAAATTCAGAAAATTTCACCGAGAACCATTTTACGTACTAAAAGTGCGGGGTCCTTTAGTGTCAAATTATTGCGGTAAAGTTAAGTTTTCCGTACGCTAGTAAAAGATAGTTATTTAGCTAACAATTGCGGAAAGTATTATTTCTCCACACGCGACGACAGCTGAATGAAAGACACGGAGCGGAGTTCAGGCCTACCGTCAAAGGTGGAAAATACATATTCAGCAAGAGTTTAGGTATTAGTATATTTTATAACGAGCAAGGAATGATAGTGATTGCCTACGAGAAGAGAGATCATTCGACTAGGAAATTAGCATTCCGTGCAAGATATACACAATTATTTTTCTACGGCTATAATAGATAACAGCGACATTTTCGATTTCTTCGTCTTGAAGCCATCTGATTTCCTGTCAACTAATGCTCATCTATTAGACAGAGCTGTCCAGCTGTCATTGCTTGAAATTTGACCTCATTATTGAACAGAGTAAATCTTGTGTTATAGCCGTAGAAAAAATGTTTTTTCTACAACTGCTATGAAAAGTAATGCATTTCTCATAGCTTACTTAGTTTCAAAACCATGTATTGCCGATACTGTGAGAAATATTTTTTCTCGCGGCACTTTGCCAACACCACATACATTACCATGGAGAATCCACAAAAATCGACCAAAACTTGGCTGCTGTTCTGCTTCGAATAGTTGTCACAACTGTCAGAAGAAGTTTTTTGAATTCTTTAGGGTAGTTCTCATTAGTGCTTTTGATAGAAATCGCATTTTCCATCAAATATTGTTCCGGAAAATAATATAGTAGGGGGGAAGATAGGTTGAAAATCACATCCAATTCGAAATTAGGACATCTAATTTCCTGAAAATTTTTCAGTTCTGATGAATTCGATTTTGTCTCACTCTTCATAGAAACACCCCGTATCTTTCGTAATTATTGAGATTTGCAGGAGCAAGGAAGAGTCCAAAGATATAGTCAAAATGACCAACTGAAATTCTACCTCAAAAACCTATAGGTTTATCATCAAGGTTTATGGAATCTTATAACTGAACGACTTTAGTTTACTTGCCATTTTCAAGAACCTCAAAATTCTGATGACATCACTTTTGATATCTATATGTCGTAATATGTCACAATCCAGTTTATAAGACAATTATTCAAATTCAAAGAAATTCGCTGAGCATTTTGTCACCGTTATGAATGTCATAGTATTTTTAACTACAAATATGACTGAGCTGACTATTATAAAATTTGGAATGGACGACTTCTTTCTTGTCTTCATTATTGCTTTGAGAAAAAGTGATCTGAAATAACATATTTGGAACAAAAAGTTCATTCAAATTATTTTTATTATTTATGTACATATGCTAATCGAGATGTACAGTCGTATTCAATAATAAAAAAGCGTACGAGTGTTAAAAAGAGAGGTTTACGACATCCTAGTTCTAGTTGTATAAAACTGGCTCAGCCAATGCTTTCAGTTTTTGAGAACCTATTACAACTTTACTGTCAACATTTGGTAAACAATCATTCCCGATAGACCATTTTACGCAAATAGAATGTCGTTAATTTCTCTCTGTAATATACTTGTACGCTTTTTTTCTGAATACAGCTGTACGTGTTTTGAGAATAATGTTTCTGGTCTAAACGGTGTAAAAATGAAATTCACATTCAGTACATTTCAATCATCGTGCACAATTCAGATTTGCCTATATACGACTGAAATCCTGTTTTACATCGCACTCGGTCTTGCACAAAGCATCATTCTCTGGAATAATAAAGAATGGTAAAAAGTAAAAAGTACGCCGACATTATTATTTTCATAATACATTGTTATAAAAGTAGAACATGCTCAACCAACGGTGCATATTGTGTGTTTGCGTGTATATAATTTAGATATTCTGCCATTCGAAACAAAGAAAAATGTAACCAGCAACCGTGCATCACCAACAGAGAACGAAAGTGCTGGAAATCAATATAATTTTTGAAAAATTTAAACCCAAACCATAGATCTAAATACACATATATATTTAGATCTATGCCCAAACTGTCAGTACAATATCATTTATCTGCAATGGGCATTGAAGGGACCATTTTCAATACGAAGAAATCAGACATTGAAACTTCACTTCGAATTCTTTTACAAAAAAGTACTTTTAATCCTAGGTACTGAAAGTGTTGCCTAGCTAACACTCTGGCGTGTAACGGTATTCTGTTATAGGTTTGATTTTACCGCATAAACTCAAAATTTGCCCGTTGAACAAAAATAAGTCATTTTCAATGATGATGAAACGATATAAGTGAGTGGGTACGATCTGATCGATTTCAATTCATCATTTCGAATTTTGTCATTATTCTCCTTCGCTGATGACAATCAGCAGAAACAAGTGACATGAAGAAAAGTCTATATCTATATTTATATATGTATAGTCAAAATAGATTATTTCTATTTTGCGTCTTTAATGAAGTCATTATGACACCCAAATGCGTATCTAAACAGATTTTATTAGGACAAGCTTTGCTGATCGAATTTCTTCTCTCAGTTTTTTTTATGTTCGGGTTCCCACGAAAAGGGATATCCTGTAATGTTCAGAGAACATCGTGAGAACCAAGGGAAATAAGGTAGGAATTGGTGTTCTCCTTTAAATTCTGAAGGTTATATCCCTCGGGGAACACCTCCCGCAATATGTTCCAGAGCCTCGCGTTCGTTGGATGAACGAGTCTGGAAAGAGATGTTGTGCAGGTCTCCAAAGTGACCACGAAGGGGTGCGAGGCCTCAACTCGACGGGTTAATCTCGCGGGGACTGCCAAGGGGGGAACAATTGTTGATATTTCAGAATCGTCCATGAAAATATCTATAAAATAGAGCCATATCGCCAACTTTTCTACGGTGTTCCAGAGAATTAATTGATTTCGTGAGCGAGGCATCACCCACGAAACGAATTGCCCTTTTTTTTGGGCCGAATCCAACAGTTTTAGGGTATGTTTGGGTGCTGCACCCCAAATATGTATCCAGCTGACTGGAAGTGAAATAGCTCCTGTCGAAAAGAGTTGGTAATGCTATCGTCAATTCAAACTGTCAGACAGGATTGATATGAAGTCTTGTGTTACTAGAGAATGAACATTCAAATGTTTTTTCATTGTTACAACCCACTTTAAATATTTCTAATATTTGATGTTATTAGTGATAAATTTTTTTTGAATAAGACTGCGAATAGAAAAAAAAATGAATATTACACACGCTTTATAAGACGCGTCTGACAAAATAGTGTATTCTTCTTCTCTTTCGAAGCATTTGTGGGCGAGTGAACAATATTATCAAGCGGTATTTGGTCCTGTCGCTACATTATGGTCCAAACAATCTGCCCTTGCCTATGTCCCAATAGTTATGACTCTGGTTCCAATTTTCCTTCATGATTTCCATGAGTGATATCATGATGTTCGGAATATTCGAGAAAATTCTGTTGCTTCATTGTTCACGAAATTGTGTTGCCCAGCAACACCACGAGTTCGTTAGGACGAGTGGTATTGCTGTACGGCAACAGAATTATGAGAAGATATTCGTGAGATCAATTGCTAAAAGTGCATCCCAAAAACTTGGTTTTCTCTGTTTTGGGCCAGGAGCTATTTCACTCCCAATCAGCTGCTTATGATCTATAAGGCACAGATCCGACCTGTCCTGGAATACTGTTCCTATATTTAGAGTGCAGCACCCAAACATACCCTGAAACTGTTGGATTCTGTCCGAAAAAGGACAATTCGTCTCGTGGGTGATGGCTCGCTCACAAACTCACTCACTTCTCTGGAACACCGTAGAAGAGTTGGCGATCTGGCTCTATTTTATAGATATTTTCATGGACAATGCTCTGAAATATCAACACTTGTTCCTCCCTTGGCAGTTTCTGCGAGATTAATCCGTCGAGTTGAGGCTTCGCACACCTTCGTGATCACTTTGGAGACCTGCAGACCATCTCTTTCCAAAGACTCGTTCATCCAACGAAGGCGAGGCTCTGGAACACATTGCCAAGGGAGGTGTTCCCTGAGGCATATAGCCTCCAGAAATTTAAGAAGAACACCAATTCATACCTTATTTCCCTTGGTTCTCACGATGTTCTCATCACAGGATATCCCTTTTCGTGGGAACCAGAACATAAAAAAAGACTATTTCACGTTCACGAAGCATAAAAAGCATTTATTATGAATGAGTTGTTTATTCTGACAAATATAGCCACAATTATTCAATGTCAAACTGACAGACTTTGCTTCGCTATCCATGGTAACATCGTTGAAAACATCTACGCTGATAGACCAATCAGAATTGAAAGACATCTAATGTTTTGCGATAAGCACACGTTGTGTCATAGTCGATAAAATAAAGAAATCATTCCATTATTGTAACATTTTATTAAAATCAGACGAATTATATGTGAAGGTATAAAAATATATTAATCTCTAAAAGTGACGATACGTTTTTTTTTACAAATCCGTTAGCAATAAATCATCCATTACAATAAAAATCAGTGGAACAACAAACATTCGATCTTTAATAAAATAATAACAAACAAAATTGAAACAACACATTTTTTTTTTGACAATCACTACCTATTCGTTTGATGGCTGGAAACGTGAACTATTGAAATGAAAAAAAAATCAATTCCCAAATGAAATATAACACGGAATCCTTCACAAAGAGTTGATGTATCTTCTAAGTTCTTCTTGAGTGTCGAAAATCATGACATGGAAAGGTGATCCTGGTACTAATTCTCCTGCCCATTTTACTTCTACGCGATAATCTCCTGGCTCAGTTGGATCGTACTGAAAAAAAAATGGATCTACATGTTATAATCCCTAGAATTATCCTCAACAAGGGTGATCCTTATCCTTATCTCGCAACATCATCTAGAACTATGCCATGTAGACTGACTTGGTCACCAGAAGTTAAATTATTGTGAGAGGAGAAAAACTATTTCTGAGTTTTATCTTGGTTTAGTTTTAGGTGGTTTGAAGTAAACCAAGAGTGAGCCTTGTCTTCGGCTTGGAGGGCAAGATCATTAAGGTTGTGTCATCGACAAAGCAGATACAACCACTAGGGGTAATAAAATGAAAGATATCATTTATATAAATAATAAATGATAATGGACCCAGAACACTACCTTGAGGAACACCATATGATTGATGTTCTGGTAGTCTGAACAATTATTTTCAATACCTAAAGATTGTATTCTGTTTTGAAGATAAGATGCAATTATTTTGAGGGGTATGCCTCGAATTCCGAAGTCGAAGGCCTTTGATAGGTCGCACATAGTGATTTCAGTATGTTTCCCACTCTCTAGGCCTTCGACTATGTTAGACTATGTTAGACTTATCCTCTACTGGAAGGAAAATGTCTTGTTAGTGATGCAATGTGCCTTCCGTTTAAGGTTCAATATCGCTCTTCGCGGCATAATTCCCAATCAAAATCGAATTCTCAATAATTCGAAAACAGGCGTTTATTCAACGAATCATTAAAAAACATCTTCATCTTGCACCCTCATAAGATGGTGGTCATCCAAGAATTGAAGCCACGTGAATTTGAATCTAGTCAACTCGCTAGTGGAAACATCTTTTACTTCCTGCGTTACTTCTAGACGGTATCGTTTTTTGCTCTGGCATGACACATTTTTATCACACAGATTGCGTCAATAAATAGAATATTCGATATTGAAGTGATACGAATCCTAGAGCTCCAGTAGAGATCCCTGCATTCCGATAGGATGCCAGTAGAAGAAACTAATCGAGCTTCTTAAGTCAGTTCCCCGATTCACCTGACCACGGACCAGGATTTCTTCTTGTCTAAATTGAAAGAAATGGAACTGGGAGACATCTGACAAATTCCCAAAACGCGTAACTCCCTAAGAGGCGATTTGAAATGGCCAGCAAAATCTCCTGATTTGACTCCGTAAGATTTTTTATCTGCATTCAAAAATACCATTCAAGCTCATATCGCTGAAATTGCTGTTGCAATAATGCTTCAAAGAGTACACGAAATCTTCACAAAATGGCTTATTCAGTGTTTGAAGTGTGAGGAGCGCCATTCAGATAACACTCATTTGTGCAAAATCGTGTTAATTTAATTTTTTTATTTTACAATTGATCATTATGTCAATATCTAACAGTCTGCGTTTAATTAAAATTTTCCGTCGGCTTGTAAAAGGTAAAACAAGTTTTGGAGACTTCAAGAAGTCTGTACAAATGAACAATTTTACCTTGCAAAGTATTGTTCGGTCTTTTTGACTCTCCCTCTGCATCTCTACTCTGAAAGCTCCTTTAGGGCCTCTCACTCTAACGGTCAACTGACCTGCTCCAGCTCCTCTAGTGTCGCAAATAAATCTCGACTGGAAAGTCGCAAGAACTCCATGTTCGACTCCTGGACCATAAACACGAACCTTCAACAAAAAATAAACATTAACAGGGCCAATGTTCATTTGAACTTTATTCTCATAAATCAAACCACAAAATATTTATCGACGAATATATTTTCGAAATTCGGTGTAATCTCTTGCTCACCTTACTGGGATCGGGAGCTCCGGCCACTCTGAGCGTAAACGGAGACCCAGTCACGTGCTGACCAGCGTATTTGATAGTCAGAGCATGCCTTCCGGATTCTTGTGGTTTGACATTCAGCGTAAAGGTAGCATCCCCATGGTCGTACAGTTCGCAGTACGCGACTTTCCTAGGCCCAGTACAATGTGCAGTCAATTCGCCAGGTCCAGCCCTTCTAGTGTCGATCCAGGACCTAATTTCTCTGCCTACTACGCCTTGACGAAGGCCTTCTCCAGAACAAAGAACCTGGAATAGAACCATGAACGCATGTTGCTACTGACAGACGATGGAGTGTACGCACCTTCGAAGCATCAGCACCACCTTTGGCTTCAACCACCAAAGGGCAACCCTTAACTGGTCTACCGGCCCAAAGTACAGATAACAAATAGTTCCCAGGGACCGAAGTAGTGTAGGCTGCCTTCCAAATCTTATCTCCAGCCAAACTAATCATCACAGGAACAGGAATGTTGGTATCAGCTGCATTTAACGTCACCTCAGGATTACCTATAGAAAGAGATATAAACCAATCTTCACAGAGCTCTGATAACTATGAAAATCCTACCTGTACTAGCTCTAGAACCGTCAATGGTAAAAACAGCAGGTTCTCCACATTGGGAATGAGCTAAACCTCTTCCAGTGAGAACCACCTGATCTCCTAGGCACATGATGGATTGAGGAGCTTCTGGTATGCTCATGCCAGCGAATTTGATCTCGAACTCATGCTCCCCAGGGCTCAGACCTTCTCCTGACAGCTCAAAACGTACTCTGGAACCATTCTTCTCCGCATTCACTTTCCTACCGGATATTTTGCAATCTAAATTGCCTGGACCAGCATTTGCAATGTCGAAGGCCAGTTTGGCAGGTAGTTTGATGCGTCCAGAGTCATCGAGTAACTGTGACCAACCTCCAATAAGCCTCACAGCCGATGGGTCCACGATATTTGGTCTAAACGGTGAACCAGGCAACTAAAATCACAAATATCACGACAATCGAGCAAGTGAACAAAGCCTTCTTGAAGCTACTTACATCATTTGGTCCAATACTAATGATAATATCGTAGGTCCCCACCCATTTGGGAGTGTAGCTCACGCTATACTCCCCAGGCTTAGGACACTGCATCTGCACATCTATGTTCCCCTCCACTGCTTCCACAGACACTCTTGGCTGTATCACGCTGCTTACAGTGAACGATGCTTTTTCTCCCACTTTGCCGACTTCCAGGCCACGTCCAACTGCTCGAGGAGGAGGAGTAGGACCAACAGGCCCCACTCCTAAAGCTAGTGGAGATCCTTTAACTGGGACAGCTCCGTAAGTGACTGTCACTTGATAGAGACCTGCCATCGAGGGTAGGAACATCACTTGGGCTAGGGAGTCGTCCACGATGGATTGATGGACTGCTAGAGTTTGGTTTATGGGGTTGGAAACTTGGACCTCGAGTTCAGCAGAACCTGCATTCTTAGAGGAAACTGGGAAAAATATGTTAGAATTGGTCGAGATATACTAGTGTCTTCTTACCATTGAAGAACACCTTTTCTCCAACATTTCCTTGTGATGTAGGGATGTCGACGATTTTGACATTGTCTGGGTCGAAACTCTGGCAAGTGAAGGGGCTTCCGTTTAGGTGCTTTCCTTGGTGAAGAACTTCCACTTTATGTGCTCCAATCTCTCTAGATGTAAACTCAGCTTGGAGTTTTCCAGTTTTCGTTTGATAGCATCGCACTGGAATTGCTGAACCAGCTGGACCACTAACTACTACATCAAACTCTCTGGCTGATCTACCGAGAGTTTCTATGTTGAATGAGTTGACTTTTCCGACTCTAGCTTGGTAAAGACCTGCAACAATAGCATGAGACAGAAGTAGCTTGAGAATCGTCGATAGTTTTTACCTATTCCTCCACACCAAGGTTCGTTTCCAGGGCCTTTCACTGGTATTTCTAGCACACCAAATTTGGGCACTCCATTGTAGAGTAATGTTACTCTATGAGGTGCCGCTTGAGTAGGGTGGAACACGACTTCCCACATATTAGCATTGGTTGGACTTTGTCTAACACTGTGTGCTACATCTTTATTAGCAATCTGAAAAATCAATCAAATTGGTTTTTGAATTACAAGGATAAAGAGATCAGAAGTGATTTCTACCCATCATAGATTATACACTCACCTTAACCATAGCTGTCAGTTTTCCAGGTCCAACTTTATTCATGTTGATTCCGATGACAGACGGTCTATGGCAAATAGCCTCAGGGGCATTGATAACATCTATTTTCGTAGTATCGAACACATGGAATGTCCTAGTGGCAACAACTTCGTTATCCTTGAGTATATTCAGCCTGTAAGTTCCAGTCTGAGTCAAGACAAATTCCCCCTTATAGTTGTTCACTATGTACTTGACATGGTAGTTATTGGGGTCAGTGATTTCGATTCTATGGTTCTCGCTAGGCAAATCAATGTAAGCCGTAGAACCTATTTGGAAGTACTGCGTAGATTCTATGACGCTGCAATGGAAAGGACTACCAATCACGGTCATTTCGTTGAAGGTTATATTCACGTAGTGATCTTCAGCTGTCAATGGAACAAACGTGACATCATACAATCCTCTAGCACAAGCGACTACCTCTGCTTTGATAGTAGTATGTTGCGTTGATACCACTAGCTCCAAGGTTCCTTCCCCGGCTTGAGCAGCATCTACGCTGAAGGTAACAGGCTTCCCTACTTCAGCTGTGCCAGTGTCCTTCAAGTTCATCTCACCTAGAGATTTGATCACGTCGGATTTGCGACCAGGTAGTCCGGTGACAATAACCTTATTGACGTCGTAGACATTGCAGCTAAATGGAGAGCCAATGACGTGTTGGTCGTTGATTAAGATTGCTACCGAGTGTCTACCTACTGTTTCTGGCACAAATCTGGCGATATAGGTGTCGTTGTTTACGATCAGTTTAGTAGGGAGGGTTTTGCCAGTAGGTGCTGTAGCTACAACTTGTGGTTCTCCAGCTGGAATATGTTCTTAATTAGATAAGGAAGGTTAGAGGATAACTGCGGCTTACTTGTTACGCCTTCTATCTTGATTTCAGCAGGGTGTCCCACAGGAGAAAGTTCTATGCCATTTCCAGATACTGGAACTCTAGGTTGAGTATTTCCAGGACTGACTTTGCAGTTGAAAGGTGATCCTGGGACAGGCTGGCCGTTGAACCTAGAACAACATACAACGTAACAGATACTGGGAATATATTCGAGTCGTCAAGGATATGGCTTACCTCACGCTAAGAGTATGTGTGGCAGCTTCAGTAGGCTTGAAGTTAACTTTGAATCTCGCATTTCCTTCACTCTGCACAAAATTTGGAACATTTCTACCACCAACTGCTACTATGATCTCAAGATTTCCAGCACCAGCCTGGGAGGCATTGATGCTGAAAGAGACCGCTTTACCAACTACACCATCGATGATGTCAGTAACTGTAACTCTGTTAGCATCGTAAGCCTTTATTAGGAAAGGACTGCCCTCAATATGTCCAGATTGTAAGCGTACTTCAACACTGTGATCTCCTACGTCCACTGGAGTGAAAGACACTTCAAACTTTCCAACTGTGTTGTCCTGTGGTCGAACCTGAGAAGGCATTGAATAAATCATAGGATGATACTTTGTTCTGGAAGTAGTAGTCATACCTGAGTAACTAAATTTCTTCTGGCTGGCCCTAGAATTTCAACTATAGGAGGATTCGGACCTTCAACGATAAAAGTACAAGGTCTACCAACTGATACCTTGTCCAGCGTTTCCAGAGCAAGGATCCTAGCAGCAGGCGTCACATTACATTTGAAAGGGCTACCAGGTACATCTTGACCATTGAATCTCAAATCTACAGAGTGTACACTAGCTTCTCGAGGTGTGAATGCTATGGCATAAGTGTGAGGCCCTTGTGCTTGAGCTGAAGTCGGTACCAGGCCACCATTGACCGTTACTTCTAAGTTTCCAGGTCCAGCTTGACTGGTTTCGACTATAAAAAATCATTTTAAAACAATTTAGCGGGGTTCTAATGTTCTGAACTTACCTAAAAACGTGACTGGCTTTCCAACCACACCACTTGGCGATTCCTTTATTTTGATGGCTTGGACATCGTATACTTTGGCGGCGTAAGGGCTTCCTGCTGTTGGTACTCCGCTGACGCTGACGTTTATTCGGTGTTCCCCCACCACTCTGGGTACGAATTCGGCTCTGAATTGGTTGTTGCCTAAGGGCTGTACTTGTGTCGGTACCGCTTGGCCACCAGGTCCTGTATAGCCAGTCAGAGTTTTTGGTCAATGTCGGTTAGTTGTGAAAAGAATTGTGGCGGATAAAGCGTTGTAGTGTACTTATTGGTAGTTAGATGAGATGGGGAGTGAGCAACATGGTAGGGAATGAATTTTTTGGTGACTGATCTTGAACCAAATTATTGGAATACAATTTTAGGAGGATATTCATGATTTGAATTATAATGATATTGAAAAAATCTCACATTAAGGCAGAAATTCCATTAATGTTTTGCAAATCATTGTTCACTGACCAGAAATAAGAATATTCAAATGGATACACTTTGGATTCAGCGATCAAAAACTACAAATTCCTAATAATTTTTTGTGTCAGTATTTTTAACGATATTCTTAATTTTTTTAATTTCATTCATCATTCATCAATACGAAAATCGAATGAAATGATTGAGAGTGAAGCTGAAAATCGCGAATTCTGTTGACCTGAATCAGTTTAGTTCATCAGGGGCAATGATAAATACATGTTGATATAACGAAGCTATAAAAATACTTTCTCTAAATCTCATTTCAATGTGATGGGGCATAGGAATTGAATATTTTTAGTTGGTTAAGCATTTTATAGAGCAATTCTATACCTACTTATAATATGGCAAACCATTTCTTGAAGATTATTATTCTCATGCATACATATATATACCACCTGTTAGTCAATAAATAATGTGCTTATGAAATGAAATCTACATATAGTTAAAAGGAGAGTATACAGAAGTATTATATAGACTAAGTTAGATCTCTAGGAGAAAATGTAAAAGTCAGAAGTTAAAGCCTTATTAATTACGAGAAAATTGTTTCTAGTTACCACACTAGTTGGTGAAGTAAAAACAAGAATCTGTGGAAATTATACCTCCTGAAATATGGCATTGACATGGAATTTGAGAAGAATAACGGAATAACAATGACTACATAATAGTCTAAAACAAAAAATAGTGTATGCAACAATTCATAAATGATAATAAAATTTATTTCAGAGTATAATATTTGAACTTTAAAGAAATGTCATATATGCCAATATGAATGATTCATGTTTTAGGCAGTGAAAAGAAAAAAAAACTATCAGAATAATTATTATTTCAATTATTGTTAATGAATAGTGCAGTGTGAGTGGAATAAGTTGATATAGGATAGCTAGGTATAACGGTTAATCATTCATTATTCATGCAGTTTGTTTTTTTTTATGGAAAAGGTGAATCACATTTAAATTGGTTCTTCATGTCATTGTATTCGAATGAAAAATATTAATTATATAGCAATTCAATATTGAATAGTTTTAACTGCAGCACAAATTGTTCAAATTTTAGTTTCAACAAATTACTACTAATGAACCATAATTGATTTATTGACGGTATAATGAAAACGATAGCCATCAAGTTCATAAGCATATTGCTGACTAGTTACTTAAAAATAAACAGATGTTTGAATACTTGTTTTCTATAAAAAAAGATTTTTCAATCGTCTTCTGGAAACTTATCGATTTTGAAAAGACCATAACGATTTTTTTTTAATAGCTCTGATGACTAGAGAAATTCAACTTAAAACCATCTTCAAATGAGAAATCAGTATATTTCGAGATTAGCAATTTGTTTTAGTCATAAGAAGAATATTTTGTTACATCAAAAAATCAAACCATCACTTTTTCAGAACATTATCGGTTGAATGACCCCAGATTCACTTATTCCAAAATGTTTAGATTTTCCATACTATGATAAGAGATCATTTTTGATTTGTCTTCTGAAAAAATCACAGATGATTCATTACTAATTGGAAATATCTCAACTATAGAACCCTGAACTCAAAATAAGATGATTCAACCCAAATCACCCTGATAAAATGTATCTCCTGTCTGAGTTACAGGGTGTTTTATTTGAAGAATTATTCGACGTATTATTGTCATATTTGGTGGGGAGTTATACACCCTCCAAAATTATGTTATATGAACGTTTCTGGCAGCACAATTATTTTCAGTTTTATGTGTATTAATTATGTCGATATTTTGGATCAATTGATTGCATTCATCATTCATCAATCCAATGAAACTTCAATCCATATTAACAATAAAAACATGATAACATAACAGGTAGGAGCTGTTACATGGTGTTTATGTTATCATGTTTTTCGTCAATATGGACATAATATATACATGATTAATACACATCAAATACAAAATAAATGTGCAGCTTCATGTTTAAGTTTCAATATCTCGAAAAATAATCACTTAAGCCAGAAACGTCCATTCAACATAACTTTGTAGGGTGTATAGTATTTACACTGCACCAAATATGTCAATAATATGTCGAATAGTTCCAAAGTACTGGGCACAAATGATTTATAAATTTTCAAATAAAACACACCAACTCAGAGAGGAGAAACATTATATCTAGGTGATTTGGGTCAAATCATCATATTGAGTTCAGGCGTGAAATATTTCCAATTAGTAATGAATCACCCTGTATAAACTATAGAATATGTTTTTATTCAATAGCATCAAAAACGATTTTTCGTCAACGCATAAAGACACCTACTGTTGAAAGGAATGCATGGAGGAATGCAGAGGTGTGGAGATGTTAGTAACAATGAATGAAATGTTGAAAAGAAAGTCATACAAGTCTAGTAAACGTAACGTCTGTGACCTGAAAATTAGAAAAAAGTGCAAACAGTGAACAGAAGAGAGGAAGGAACAAAAAATGCAGAGAGAAAGAAATGCATGCTATATTTTTTACAACAAATAGGTAAAAATACAAAAGGCACATTCACACTAAAAACTATAAACATAAAAATTATGAGTATACAAAATGCTCAACCAAATAATAAATGTGAAAGGTAGAATATTCGATAAAATTGCGATTATGTATGCTAGAATAAACTGTGCAAGCAAAGGTTTGAATAAATTGAGGATATACAGCCAAATAGAAGCGATAATTTATATAAAGCTGACAAAATAATAATCCAGATCGATTTTTAATCCATTTGAAACCATACTCAGCAACCCAGCTTTATAATTTGGTTAGAATCACACTCAATACTGATTTTTCCATGTCAATATCGAAAATTACCATGCACTGATAATACATTCAGATGACTATCGATCCTAAAATCGCTCATCACCATAACCATGTTCATCCCCTTTTCTAAGCACCCCTAACGTGGACTCAAACCTTTCTGCAAAATTTCAGGTCCTTGATCCCTGATTTCAATCATCCGACGAAATCTTTTTATTTCAAGAAAATTAGTATTTTTTTTATTCCTATCCCTACTTTTGTTTGCATAGTAGACCCTGTTCCAGTGAATCAATGGATGCTGAGCTCAAAAAGGAGCCATAAAGTGGTATACGACAGATGGCTCCAAAACCGAACATGGAACTGAAAGAGTTTACGGGCCCCTTGCTAAGTATTTCGGAAGCTTTGGAAAATTCCCAAGCCTATTCCAAGCGGAAGTTGACTTTATAGGGAAAAGTACACAGTTCAATCTATAAAAAAGCTATGAAATACGAGATATCATTATCATGTCCGATAGTCAAGCAGCCTAGCAGCCATTGAAATGTTGAAGTATATGGTATCAGCTCTAAAATGGTATGGGTATACCAGGAAAAACAACCAGCCATACAACAGAAACATGGTCACCCTTCTATGGGTTCCGGGACATTCTGGAGTAGAAGGAAATGAAGTAGCGGACTAGGAATGGAGCTCAAACACGCTACGTGGAGCTAAAACCCTTCTGCGGGATCAACAGCAGTTCTGTATCAGAAGAAAAATTGGAAAAGAAGAAGCTAAACAGAGATTAGACATCTGAGAAATGCTTCAAGATCTCAGACAGGATAAGATACTAGTGAGGATATATAACCTCAAAATATCGAATGTATATGTCAGCCTAAGCAAAAATAAACTTCGTATACTATACCACGAGTCCAAACAGGGCACTGCCGTTTGAACATCTTTAAAATACAGGTTCCATAGGTAAAAGGAGGACATATATCCGCACACTCTAGGAATGTGTCACCTTACAGCACCCAAGGGCAAGATTCCTAGGAACTCACATAATAGAGGAGGATCTACCCAATCTAAAACCACCTCATATCCTGCAATTTCTGATGGATATAGAACTAGAGGAATCGATTTATAAGAGAAGAACCTCATCGGGTATATACGAAACAACCCCTGTTCCTAACTGAGTGCTGAATATGTCTCTGGCTGTGCTCGCAGTTCCTCAATTCATCCAAACCCCAAAACCTGAACTTCCACAACCACCAACCACCAACCACCCCCGCCCTTATCGCCTTCCTCACCCTCAACGTTAACCTCGATGTCCTCCAGCCGGCCCGGATGATTCACCAACAGCGTGCTCGCCCTATGCACCGGCCCCGGCCCCGGCAGCGTCACGCTGGGCCCCGTCCCGCTGCCCCCCACGCTCACGATCAGCGGACACCCCACCACAGGCCGCTTGTTGAACGCCACATTGACCACGTGATCGCACGCCTCGGCCGGCACGAAGCTCACCGCGAACCGCGCGTTCCCCTGCGGGTGCACCTGCGTGGGGATGTTCAGCCCCCTAGCGGAGATCGTGATCTCCAGGTTGCCCTCGCCGGCCTCGCTGGCGTCCACGGAGAAGGTCACTGCCCGCCCCACCGTGCCCCGCGCCACCGAGCCCACGGTGACCTTGCCCGAGTCGAAGGCCTTGGCGACGAAGGGCGTGCCCTGCACCGGCCGCCCGTTGTAGTCGACGTGGATCTGGTGCGCGCCGACCTGCGCAGGCGTGAACTCGGCTGTGAAGCCCGAGTGTATGTCGCCCGTGACCTTGACCGGGAGCTCGCCCACCGGCCCTCTGACTGCCACGGCCAGCTCGGCTGCCCCTCCACCGGCTACGGCCATGTGGAAGGAGCTGGGCTGGTTTACGGGGACTAGTTCTAAGTGGGCGAGCGACAGGGTGACCCTGCTTGTGTCGGAGACTTGGCAGACGAACGGGCAGCCTCTGACCGTTTCGCCGTTGAATTTGATGTCTATGAGATGGGGCTTGGATTGGTCGGGGGTGAAGGAGACCAGGCAGCGGCCGCCTCCCACGACTTGGACATGGTTGGGGACTTCGCCTTCGTTTATGGAGATCTCTAGCTGGCCTTCTCCTGCTTGGCTGGCGTCAACTGAAAAATAAAGGAGGGTTAGTGGTTTTGGAATAAGCTTTGTTAGGGATAGAGTGTTTTGGAATTGACGGGAGTGCTCTGATCGTGTCTGGATCTTGTGGAGCTAGTAAGCACATTAGCGGAGATGATAATTATTGAGAACCTTGCAAGTGACCTAGTGTCAAAGGACATGAATGAGTAGATACAAAAGACACCGCCGAGGACACCGCTGACTCTCTTGCCAACCAGAACCAAAAACTTGAACCAAGATTCGGGTTTCGAAAGAATAAAGGGTAAAGTACAGTGGCCCAAAAGGGGATTGACTAAAAAAAAATACTCGAGACGAGATTCGAGATAAAGTGCATAGCAGTTGAGCACAGATGATTCGAATCAGGATTCAGGGAGATAAAAATTTTTAGAATGCAAAATGTACGAGTTTAAATTGGGTATAGATATATTTGCTATCATAAACCGATATTTGGATTATTTTAGCATCCATCTTGGGAATTCACCCTCAGGAGGGGTGTATGGTTAAACAAAAATTCTACTATGATGGGGAGCTCAACGAACCCTTACTAAACTCATTGAGTCATACTATACCATTAAAGTTCAATGTCCTATCATACCTTCCATTGTTTTTTCTCTATTGCAAATTGATGGCAAATAAACGTAATTACAGAATAAACTAGGAACAATCTTATTGTTCAGATGATTACGACTGTCTACTTTCTCTGAATTGTTTCAAGGCAAGCTTATAATTAGTTGACCTTTAACGAATTAACTGAAACTGAAACAACAAATTCTTTATTAATTTGAATGATTAGAAAGGTCAACTCCAAACGAAAAGGTGATATAAATCAGATAAATAGACTGAAATACTTCGTTTTTATACTCACTTGTTGGAATCTACACAACAAATGAGACTTTTTGCTGTAAGAAATAATGATTCCAAGAATATATAAGATATTCGCTATGCTTGGTAGGCCATGCCCATTATAACAAAAAAAAATAATGGCCATAAAGAAAAGGATACAGTCAATTATTTGAGAAATGTTATGTTTTTCATCGAATGGGCTTGGTTGAATATAACCTGAGGTTGTTGATTATAGATTACGGGTAGGTAGGTAACCAAAGCAATAAGTAATAACAGAAATGCAAAATCTGATACTTCTTTAACCTTCATTGGATCGATCTTAGGGTGGCTGATCGAATTATCATTGATAAGTAATCGTAATTGTATTTATTTTTAGTTGAAGATTGCTATTTATCAAATTATTTTAATCAGCATATGGTAAAAATGAATAAATTACATTCATTCTATAAATGTAACGGTGAAATTCGAGCCAAAGTCATCGAAATGGTAAACCTATTGAATAACTTTACTTTATATTTAAATAAATTAGCTTTATATCCAAACTAGATTCGGTCAATTGATAATAAATTAATTAGAAATCCACGTGAACCTTGTTAGTCCATATGTCCCGAGATTGATATAATTTTAGTTGGAATAAAATGACATTCCAGTTGGAGAAAAAAGTTCGAGATATTTTTTAATGTTACATTTTTTGTTTGAGAATCATTCTTCCAATCAAGATCCTAATTTGACAATTTTTTTAATCAAATTTTTTTTTCACTTTGTCTCTGATTGTGAGCTCTGCTTCTGCAGTCTAGGTATCATAGATTCTTCATATCATATTTATTTTTTACCACTCAGAGCACATGAAGGGAAATCGAAGTACATTGTGCGTACATATAGGAAGGATATGAAGAGTTGTGTTTTTTTTTAACTTTAGGAGATTATGAGTTATTGAGAATACTTCCCTTGGCAAAGAATTCCAAATCTTTGCCCTTCTATAGCAAAGCGACTCTTGGTAAATAGTTGTTCGACATATCTCGAGGTTGACGACAAAAGCATGTGCTGACTGAGCATGTCAAGTACGTCTGACTGGTATTGCTAGTGATGGAATAATAGCTGAGATTTCTGAAAAACATTTCCCGTGGAAGTATCTATAGAAAAGTGGAAGGCTGCCGACGTTCCTACAGTGTTTCAATGATGTCAAAGAAATTGGTGAGTGAGAGTGTGGCATCACCCACTAGAGGTGAATGTGCTGAGCTCCATAAATGGGAACAGTATTCTTAAACGGACCATATCTGTGCTTTTTAGATCATGACTTTGTAAATGGATGATGGAACCAGAAATTGTTATATCAGGCATACTGAGTTTCGCCTTTCTAGAGAAAATACAAGCTTGAGGTTTGGTGGCGTTGAATTCAGCTAGTTTGTTGGTTCTTCAGGCTGTGTCTTCTTACCATGATTGTGGACCAAATATTTCTACTTCAGACACAAATCCAAAACACTCGAACAGAAAAACCTTGACTTACCTCTGAACTGTACCGGTTGTCCTACCACTCCCCCTCCAACATCCGCCACCTGAATCAACCCCGCATCGTAAACCTTCGCGACCAGAGGCCCAGAAGGCAATTTTTCCCCATTGACAGCGACCTCGACCACGTGAGTCCCCACCTCGGTAGGCACGAATTCGACGCTCTGCACGCCCGAACGGCTGCCGGGAATGACGCGCGCAGCCACGCTACGCTTGGTGGGGGAGATCACGTGGCACACGAGGTCGGCCGGGGCGGTGTTGGTGGGGGTTATAATCTCGAAGACGGTCGTCGAGTTGGCAGGGACGAGACGCGTGGACTCGCCTAGGACGGAGAGGGCGGCATTGTTCGACATGATGTTGACATGCCAGGGGCTGCCTTCAACAAGAACGGAGGGTTAGATGGATCAGTGATTATAGAAATTGTGCAAAGGTGGTTTGTGAGAGAATATTCTGATGACCGTCATTAGAATGATTCGATCGATTTCTTCGATTGTGAAAAAATACTAACATTCGATGTTTTGTTGACCTAAACATCTATTATCACAGGGATTATTTCCTCAATAAATGATGTATCAGTAGACATTAACGAACTATTTGTGTTTCTCAGGGATAATCTAGTAAAATGGCAGTTTTTGTTGGAAATAATCATCATCAAATCTTCTCAGATGAATCCTTAGTGCAATTGAAATACAAATATCAATAATAAATACGAATATCTCGAAAAATAATTCAGTTTATTTAGAGAAGCAGTATGAAGAATGCTTCAGAAATAGGATTGTGATACAATTTGATTTCTACGAATCACTGATCAAGATTTAGAGAGAATTCTCGAATGGGCTGGTAGTTAATATCTAGAGCAGATGTTATTTCGATTGATTCTTGAATCTTATATGAACTTTGGTGAAAAATAGACTTTTTGGATGGTGTCTCACAAGGAAAAATTGTATACTTAATGATTAACAAGATAAATGATTTATTTCTGTACTCATAGTAGGTATATATAGGTAGCCTTTCGAGGAAACCGAGTGTGATATTATCTCAGGGAGTGTTCTCTTTCACGTTTTGATAATAAGTATTCAAGTAATGGAGAACTGACTTGAATATCATATAATTTAGTAGCTAACTCATGATAATTGAATATGCTTATCCTTTCGGTATGGATATACAGGTGGAATATTGGAAAATAAAGATTTATTTGACATTTTCTGAATATTTCGAGTGTGCTAGATCAATACACTGTGTGATCCGATGGTAGATCAAAATTCTCAATAAATGTTGTTTTCATGACTTGTAGAAAAATTATTTCTGGACATAATTGTCGAGGTTCCATTTTATGTAATGTAAATAATGTTATGACTTTCTATAGTACCCACCTATCTATAGATTTCCTTTGAACTGAGAAGATGGGGGTACCTTTATAAGTTCAATGAAAAACATACAGGATGCATATCGCCAATCTAACAGTTATTGCATAATAGGTATTAAAATGACTGCTAATTCATTATTACTCAAATCTTTGTCTGCTGAATACATAATAATTTCAATAATTATGACTTTTTACCATCATTCAAAAGTGCGATACTTAATTAGGTACGATGAATAGAGGTATTTTTCAATACGAACAATTAGGTATATGTTAACGAATCGGTGTACCAGAACGATTTTTATAATTTATTCAATGTCAGAAGTACTGCAATGTTTTTGTTGTTTGTATTACTAAATGTATCGTTTAAATGTAGTTCCCGATAAAAAATAATTACCAAACAATTAAAGCGTTCCGAATGAAAATTTCAAACAGGAAACTATTATTTCCATCACAAAATTGGTTCTGCGTTAACAGCCGTTTCAACGAAATGCCATTTTAGAAAGTGTTAGTGTTTACCATACTCTCAGTACCTAGGTCTAGGTACCAACTGCTGCATAATATTCTCTCACAATTTACCACCGTAGCCTTCGACTTTTAATTCGCTAAATCCCTTTAAAACGATAACATTACCTGGCACAACACTCGAAATCACACTGTTTTTCTGCTAGATCACTAGATAACCAGATAAGTACGACGATTCGAAACAAGGCGCAACGGAACTGTCAACGTGAGCAACAATTGAAAGTCGAACAAACGCCTATCGCGACCAGCGAAACGACCCGAACTGGTCGATTTAGCTCCGTTCGCCTTGTTGCAGTACCTACACGTGCCTACACGCACTACGGACTCGGTACTCTCAGTAGGCGGGGTGAGAGGTGTAACGGCATTCCACGATCGGTGAGCAACAGGTAAAGTGCCATCGAGTCAGGCAGGAATGGAGCCATTTGTTGATAGCCACCAGCAGTACCAGCACGAAAGGATAATATATATATATATATTGTGCCACCAGTCACAGTATGTCTCATGTGAATGTGGGGAAATTTGGGACATTAATCACTACTTTTTCACAACTTTTTTGAATGTAATAATAACAAAACAAATATTGATATTTTATATGCAAAATCAATCAAGAATGGAATGAAACCTCCATTCAATTATCAAATGGTATTGAGCTATTTGAAACATGAAAAAGTCAAAATGGTGAGCAAATTCATTGAAAATAGTGATATTAAGATTTGAATCAAAATAAATTGAGTTACTATTAGGATTTGGAAAATTTTGAATTCTTTTATATATGGCCTTATACTTCACCTCCAAATTTATATCTTCTTCCTAGTTTTCTGGATCTGTCTTGTTATGTACTGAGTAGTATTAGGAAAACCTCCTGGTATGTTTTAACACCTCAAACCTCAATAATCTCCTGACAACAAGTATACTCACCGGATCTGGTGAAAACCAAGCAAGACGAATAATAATAATAAGAAGAAGAAGTCACAGTATGTACGACGTCTCTACAAGCAATATTGATTACGCTATTTGTTGAGGTTCAACATTTTATTATTGTTTCATATTTATTATGTTACTTCTTCGAAGTTACCTCTGCATCAAAGCAGTGCGTTTTGTCGATTTTTTAATGTTTCAATAGAAATAAATCAATCAATCACTGTCTGTCGAATGAAATAGATATGTTCATTATTCCAAATTTTTTGGGATTTTCTCTCCTCGTTTCTATAAAATAAAAATATGAATATTATTTCAATATACGTGTAGTAAGGACAAATCAGATGATTTGCCCCAAAATGTCACTGCGTTTAAAGAATTTTCCTATCAGAGAGCCTAAAAGAAAAATTCACTAGCTTGTCAGTGACAATTTGTATTGAAAAAATTTTTGGAGAAGGGAAATAAAGGTATATAGAAAAAATATCAAATTTTCACTTATCTTTGGACGTTTCGGGACCGGTTCTGCTCCCGTTTTCAACATAAGAAGAGATTATTTCGATAGCGAAGTCGTATAATGTCTTGAAGCTTTTCAGTTTTCAATGACAATTGGTGACGTTGGCAATCAAATGAGTTACAGGATGTTTTCATTAATTGATCTTGAATTTACCATTTTCATGTTCAGATTTTAGTAGTGAATACCATGTTCTGTCTATATCAACTGAACAAGAAGCAATGTTATTAACAACCAGAAGAGAAAAATCAAGGAATCTGCTTGCATTCTTCTGAACGGAGACAATAACATTGCTTCTTGTTCAGTTGATATAGACAGAACATGGTATTCACTACTAAAATCTGAACATGAAAATGGTAAATTCAAGATCAATTAATGAAAACATCCTGTAACTCATTTGATTGCCAACGTCACCAATTGTCATTGAAAACTGAAAAGCTTCAAGACATTATACGACTTCGCTATCGAAATAATCTCTTCTTATGTTGAAAACGGGAGCAGAACCGGTCCCGAAACGTCCAAAGATAAGTGAAAATTTGATATTTTTTCTATATACCTTTATTTCCCTTCTCCAAAAATTTTTTCAATACAAATTGTCACTGACAAGCTAGTGAATTTTTCTTTTAGGCTCTCTGATAGGAAAATTCTTTAAACGCAGTGACATTTTGGGGCAAATCATCTGATTTGTCCTTACTACACGTATATTGAAATAATATTCATATTTTTATTTTATAGAAACGAGGAGAGAAAATCCCAAAAAATTTGGAATAATGAATATACCACCTCCTCGATTAACCTACAGACAGTATTTAAATAGATATGTCATGAAAAATCAAATTTTATATCATCATGTAAATGAAGAGTTGTATATTCCCTTGAATTGAATCAGAATATACATAAAGACAGTCTCTCTCGCAAGTATTCCTTCACCCCACAATTAGAATCAAGCAAACTCTTGACAATCTCAATCAAGATATTATAGAGTCCACTATTATTCGAGCTATTATTACTTATGGAGCCTTCTAATTATTTCAGATATTTTGATATTTTCTCTCCTCAAAATGTGACAATTGTCATTGAGAACTGAAAAGTGTCAGGACAAATACGAATTTGCGATACAAAAAATCCATTTTTTATGTTGAAAACAGGAGCAGATTCGTTCCCGAAACGTCCAAAGCTATGTAAAAATTTGATATTTTTCCTGTATATACCTTTATTCTTCTTCTCCAAACGTTTTTCAATACAAATTGTCACTGACAAGCTGGTGAATTTTTCTTTTAGGCTCTCTGATGGGAAAATTCTTTGAACACAGTGGCATTTTGGGGCAAATCATCTGATGTGATGCGAGTATGATATAATTTTCTGCATGTACCAGTAACAGTAAAGCATCTTTATCTTTATTCAGATTACCCTGTAAAAAACTTTTAAGAATTCCAGAAGTCGTTATTTACGAGCATTTGAAAAAATGGGATAATAGAAAAAAATGTGTCAGGAATTATATGAATCTAACCTCGAGAAATAATTTTTTCAAATTTATTTTCAGAGTGTGACAGATGATGTTCCTGAACAATAGTTGAAAATATTGTTTCATGATGATTTTGCCCATTCTTAGATATGGCTCCATTCCCTCTTACCTCGATGTGTATGGCAGAAATCAACGATTTGAACCAAAGTACCTAGTACCTACTATATCTGTTCTTCGTTGATTGTTCTTAGTAATGCGTTGCGAGCTGCGGAAAGCAGCAAATAGAAAATGAAAATTGAAATTCGTTGCACTCGAATGACCGCAATAATGGGAAACGAAAATTTTGGAATATCGTAGAAAAAATGTGAAATTATTATGGAATATGTACCGAATTGTGTCAGTGGAACAAAATGACACAACCACGGGATGATAGGTCAGATGGAAACTGACCGAAATGTGATTTATTGAATTATTGACCGGACGGATACAGAATATCCAAGATTCGAAGAGAAAACTCTCACTTGGATTTTTTTGTTTATTGGCTATATACGTAAATACTGATTACTGATAATTATGTATATCATGTATCATTGACAAAGGTGACAGTTATGACATCGATCGAATTAGAGATACGCTGACTGGAAAAAATAATTTTCTTTCTTTTCAGCTGTCAATATATAAATATAATAGAATTTCCTTGGTTTGAATAGGACTATATCAGAATCTTCTTGAAGCCGTTCAGAAAATAGTAAATATTCATATTCACAGGACTTGCAAACAATATCATAAATAAGTAATATTCATCGAAATTTGGTCTCATAATTTATCCAGATGATTTTTATTTTCCACCGAGAGTTACACTTCGAATTTTCGTATATTCTGTAACGAAATGGTCACCTTTTAAATGTCCATCACGTTCTCACTGAAAGAGTAAATTCCTAACATTCTTTCAATGCCGCGATTTTCAGGATTCAATAAATATGTGAATAAATATATGTATACTGAGTGACCCAAAAATATGGAAACCTTTTTGAAACACATAATTTAGGTAATATGCTGGATAAAAAATTAAAGTAGTGTCGTTGTCTCGATCGTTGTCAATTTTAACTGTTAAATTTTTTCCTCGTTGAACGAATTATGGGGTCATTTAAAATTCAATAGTTACAGCAATGACGAAATAAGGATGCCATAGAAACATTTGAAGGATTCCTCTTTGGATCACTCTGTATAATGTATTGATCCTGATGTCACCACCAAACTGAATGCAAAAATATATTGCACTATACCAAATTTAAATTCTTGAAAGAATAAGACCTTTTTTCCTCAATTCTTTGATATACCAGCGAGTAAAGAAATATATATTCAAATATCAAAACATTTTCGAATTTCTCGTGTGACTATTGTTTTCGCATTATTCAATACTGAACCATTTATAAAAAAACTTGTCGAAAGTTGGTACCCAAGTTCGAGGCATATATAGCATGAAAAATTTGATGATATCTCCCTTTTAGAGTTCCTTCCGAAAATTATAAGACACTGCCTCAAACTTTCACGAAAAAGATCCTCAAATTCTGAAATTTTCCATAGTAAAATACCATATAGTGAACAGAAATCTTGAAAAAACTCTTGGATCAATTAATTATTCCCTGTTTCTCTTCTTCCTCTATAGCTATTCCAAAGTCATCGACAATTCGTTAGGAAATCATTACTCATCATATTTTCTATCGTATTCTTCCATGCCACTCTACCAGGTACCAACCCTCTCGACTTACCTGGCACCGTCTCGCCGTTGAATTTAATGTCCACCCTGTGTGGCAGGGCTTGGTGGGGGGTGAAAGCCGCCCTAAACCGCTGGCCGCCCAAGCTTTTGACGCTTGACGTCACACGACCACCCTCCACTAGAATCTCCAGGTCTCCTGATCCTGCTCCGCTACCGTCAACTGAGTCCATAGAGAATGGAGTTTTTGAATTTTGTGGAAACTTTTGAATTCACAGTAGTTGGAAAGACACCTTAATATCTAACACTTGATAGTGTGGTAATAAAATGAAATTTTGGGAACAAATAAAAGAAAAATAATTCCCAACGAGAGAGAAACTCAAAGTCATTACCACTTTAGCTCATAAAATGAACGAAAATGGTAGGTAACTTGAGGAAAACAACTAATTTTCTGGCTATATGCCATCCTCCCGAAATCTTTGCGTGACATATAGCCAGCAAAAGTAGGGGTTTTTCTCTCGTTATCTCCCATTTTCTTTCATTTTGTGAGCTATTGTGGTAATTACTATGTGTTTCTCTCTCTTTGTGTCCATTGCATTCCACTTTGAATATATGGCTTTTCCTAGTTGAGAAAAATAATTATTATTCTAAATGGGGATCAAAACGTCATCCTTGAGGCATCTATACTACAAAAGTATAGATATATTCAAATATATCAACCCGTGTTACAGACAAACAGAAGCCACTTCAACTGTCTATTCTACAAAATCACGTTGAATAATAATTGTAAACATTAGTTTTGACGTGCAAACACGTAGGTACCGCGAAAGAGTTACGAAACCAGATAAGGAAATGTTAACTGAAAATCAGAGAGAATTATGAAATATAAACATGTCGATTTTGCAGTCCTCACCAAGATAGTATACCAATTTTACCAATGTCATCATACTCTCAACAGACTAGAATAAAAAAAGTGATTTAAAATTTCAAGATAACCGTTTTAACGTAAATAGTATGGACGCTCTTGTGAGTCCACCCTTTATAGCAGATAATGTTTCCTCATGGCATATGTAATTATAGAGGGTTTCATGACTTTATAATTGTGTACTCTGTACTCACTTTTACTCAGACAGTATCTATATCTATGTATACAACGTGCCCCCCCTCTATATCTCAGCTATCAGTCGTGCGATCTTCACCAAATTTGTATCGGTATGAATAATCATCAATATGAACAGTTCTTCAAAGACAAACATCATTTTAGACAGTACTGTGCATTTTTATTGAAATGAATAGGGGTTAGTTTCTTATTAAATCATATTAGGCATTTTTTCACAAGAAAACTGACCTCATAATATTGTTCTTCTTGGTTTCAAACCCACATATTATGTGGATTTTCATAAGATGCCTATGAAGGGTTTCAGAAAAACAGGCAGATCTGAACAGCATTTTTGCGAACGTATAATAATTATTCACTTGGAAACGGTGAGTTCAACATAACAAAGTATAACTCGTTTTTACTTTCAAATCATGATTTTCCACCTACCGGAGCCATTGAATGTTCCAAAATTCGTAGTTGATTTGAAGTCGCTATTTATTCGAGACTGAAAATGCAAAAAGTGAAGCCAATCCTGTTAATTCGAAATTAGGTGATTTTTTGCATATGGAGGTTCGAAAGCATGAAGAACAAATATAAGAGGTTAGATTTCCTGTAAAAAAATTCCTAATATGATTTTATGAAAAATCGACCTCTTTTTAGTTCAATAAAAACGCACGACACTGTCCAAAATAATGTGCATCTCTGTAAAACTGATCATATTGATGGTTATTCTTACCACACCAAATTTGGTTGGAATCGCATGACTAATACCTGAGATATAGAGGGGGGGGGCGTTTAAAGTGAGACAAGCTGTATATTAAGATGAGATGAGGTTTGAGTTTCGACAACTGTTTTAGTTGTTAGTTTGAATAATTGGGTGTCTATAATCATTGATATACTTCATTTCAATTCGAATTAAGCCACAATTCGGATCTTCTTGCGATCATCTCTGTACAGATCATAATAGCCGCTCGGCTGTCAACTTCATCATTGTACATTGGTGAATTAGCATGATATGTTGATTTTGTATCATTTCATCTGCTTCCAAGTACTCACATTTTATCACATGAAGAAAGTATGTCCGGAATAAAATATAGCAGCAAATAAGTCGTCATGCCGTGGATTTGGCTCAGACTGAGGGGTGGCTCAGCTAGGTTTTTGAAATCTACCATTAAATTGATATCGAGTGGCATAATTCTTATCTCGAAATAAAATCGCGAAATCGAGTGCAAATTTCCGCACAGAAAAGTGCAATTTTTCAATCATTTTGCTGAGGATAGGGATGACCACAGGAGCCGTTCGAAAAACTACAATGGTTTTACATTCGTTATCAGATTTGCGGCCGGCTCTTGGACTATTATTGCAAACTGGTGGAAATGCCTTTTATCACTGTCACTAAAAGTCGAAATTTTGATGAAAATAGGTTGAAAATTTATTAAACTTTGAAATTATATTTTGATTTTATACGACCCCCAAACGTACTGTAATCTGATATATGATCAGTAAAAGGGTCGAAAGCCATAGGGTTGCATTGGAAAAACATTTAGGGGTTGATTCCAGCTACCCCTGAAGAGTTATATACTCCATATTGCTCACCAAATGTAGGTGAACACATCGTGTCTCGCGAATTTTGCGGATGACACTGTTTTATTATATACTGCGGAAACATGGAGTGATCTGAAGCTGAAAATTGAACTTGACATGACAACCATAATTGAGTGGTTCAACTTCAACCTGCTAACTATTAATTTCAAAAGAACCATGTTCCTTCCAATCTGTAGCTATAAAAATAGTCTTCCGAATTACCGTGAATTAGAAATCCCAGACAATTCCAACAATTCCATTAAAATTAAATTCACGAATAGTATTAAATACCTCGGAGTAACTCTTGACTGTCAATTGAGGTGGAATCATCATGTAAAAAATGTCACTAAAACTCTCAGATCACTTTTAGGACGCTTCAAATATTTAACAAAAATTCTAGATCTATCACATCTTAAAATGTTGTACTATGCGCTCATTGAGTCTAGATTGACTTACGGTATACTTGCTTGGGGGGGGGACTACAGATAAATACCTGAAAAAATCACAAATAATTCAGAAATACTTTTTGAAAATAATACTCAGAAAAGGAAGGACCTACCCTACTGAACAGATATTCCGGGATATATCTGTGTTAGACCTCCGACAGACATTTTTTCTGAAAACACTAATATCACACAAAAAAAGAATCTCTTGTATTGAGCATGACTGCATTGGTCCAAGAAAATAATTTGTTTGTATATAACGAAAGAGATGATATTCTTGTTCCAAAACAATGATTTATTCAACAACTCTCTTGTAGCAAAATCAAGATATGCATGGTTGGAGACGTTTGTTATGTTGAAGTGAGAATTGAAATAATTCATATTGACAAAATCATTTACTTATTTCAGGAAAACCATAATTTTGAGATATGGAATCCATCCATCAAATGAAAACAATCATTTTCTCAATTTGCAACTATGGATTACTATTATTGAGAATTGTTCTATTTCATTTCAAAATGAACGATTTATTTAAGTCAAAATTCCGTAAATTTTCAATGAACACATTGATATTTTCGATCCGAATTTATAAGTTTTTTATAATGAATATTGAGCTCATTCTCTCCAATGGAACTATTTTCTTGTATCAAAATATTGACTGCTTGGATAAAAATATAATAATGTTTTTGATTCAAAACTGTGAATGATTCCTAATGAGATAACTAAACTCCACAGAATATTTGTGAAGAAATATATATTTGTTCCTTTAGTTCACAATAATCCCATGTATAGGTATGTACATCTTGGATCAGTATTGTCCATCAAGACCCCAAATGGTTATAGAATAATCACATGCCTTGATTTCGTCTTCTTGAAGTTTCGCTGGAAATGATAACGGTTACAAACAATAACATAAGTATTATGATTGATTAAAAACTCACCTCTATAATATGTTATATCGTGACTCCAGTAATATCATGCCTTCTGGAAGATATCGGGTATATAGATTCGAGATACTCGGCAGGAAACTTTCTCTCACCTAATGTCAAGATCTTCTCAAGTCTTTGCAATTCATTTGTAGATAATACTTCTTCATTCATCAACCAGTCGTCATTTTGCTACAAAAAAAATTTCGAATGAATTAATAAGCATATTTTCATAGCAGGATACTACTAAATCCCTGTTATTTTGATTGAAAAATTGTTGATTCACTCACAATGACTATCGATATTTGGAAAGGTACCTACTTACCAAGGGAATTCAATGTTATACCTTCACCAGCTCTCTACAAGTTCTGCATTTGTTAGATATTTATATTCCAAGACATTTTCCACCTATATACACTCGATAAAACATTCAGAATTTTCAAACTTCGCAGCTTAATGCCGTTTCGCCGTTGTGGGCCTGTCATAATGATGTGAGCATGGTCAATAATGATTGAAGACTGAGGCCTGAGTTTTGACAACAGGATTGCTTACCCTTGATTTCCGAGGGCATATTATTTTCTTCCAAAGAAATACCTATTCATAGACTTGAATCAAGTAAATGAAGTATTGAATCAAAATGTGGCTTCTTCAATTAGAGAAATTATTAATATCATCAAGTTCATCAAGTTGAAGATATTATATTCCTTTCATTTGAGAAAATTGATATTCATATCTTTGAATCAAGTAAATATGGCATTGAATAAAACTATCAGGAGTCTTCGATTCGATGAAATTATAATATCATTATAATGAAATCAGAATGCTTCATTTGAAGAAATAATTATTTATATTTTTGTTTCAAGAAAATGGCGTATTGCCTCAACATATTAGGTTTTTGCAATTCAAGAAAACGGAATATGTCATTCGATGAAATGGACATTCTTTGATTTGAAGAAATGTATACTTATATTCTTGGATCAAGCAATAAATTTATTGAAACAAAATAGTACGCTTCTGCGAATTGAAAAATCGTTTTGATTGAGTTGAAGTAATTAATTTAGTAATTCAATAATTACATTCTTGGTTTGAGAATATATTTCAATAATATGACACTATTCTCTAGAACATACCAGATTTCTCGACTCAAAAGAATATGCTCAATTCAAAGAAGATATACAATTGAATTTTCAAGAGAATGGGTTTTCTCATTCGAAGACATTTTTTTCTGTGTGTACATATTTAAAAATAGAACAAACTCTGAAATTGTCTCCCAATTGCATTCGACAAGAGCTAAAGAAAAAAATAAACTCCAAGTTCCTAATACTCAAAAAACTATTGGACCAAGAATCTTGTATGTATATAGGACCCCGATTCTACAATTTCCTCCCAGAAACAATTGCAAAAACAAATTCGATATACCGATTCAGAAGAGCAGTCAAATTCTTTTTGCTCACGAATGACAGGAATTTGATATCTCACTTTTTTGATTTTTGAGCTTTCAGAGTAGAATATTTTCTATTATTATTCTCTATCTTTCCTCTTTATAGTTTATAGTTTATAGTGCATATCGTATGTTAGTTGTTAGAGAGTTGAAGTGTTGTCATGAACGTTAACGTAAACGTAGAAATTGACAGCTACGCATGCGCATTTTCAAATTCTTCACGTTTGCGTTGTTAGTGGGCTTACGGGTGTACGTTATCTCACGTTCCTTCACGTATACCTCAAATATTAACGTACGTTAACCAAACTATACTCGAAATATGCCGATGAGTCAAAATTATCAAATTCGAGATCACCAACGAGTTCTGCATCAAGGAGTTCTCTAATTTTGACAGGAATAAATGTTGGAATCTAAACACACAACCAAAAATGACCAATACAAATCGGAAACAAAATGTATTATTACGTTATGATGACAGTGACGACCAAAGTGGCGACTTCAACTCAATTTAACGACAATACGTAAACGTTATTTTTCGTACGTTAACGTCTACGTGGAGGTCTACGTACAGTGATTACTTCAACTCTCTATTTATTTACCGTTTCTATAGAATTTTACCACACTTAAATTCGAATTCATTCACTGTTCTATATAGTACCTATAGCAATTAAGTACTAGATTATATTATTCGGTAACGTTAGCTACCACTGTAACCACGGACATCCACTAGGCTTTGTGGTCCTTCAGTTTATTTGCAGACAGCAGAATGATTTTATCTGTAGTACTATTGTAGATTTATGATTTTCACTCGGATTTTCATACATTTCTGTAGTTTCAGTGAATAAACATTATTATTATATTAATCAGTACTCACTCTCAAACTCCACGGGCTGCCCCAGAACACCGTCAGGCACCGTTTGCACTCTCACAGCCCCCGCCCCACCCCCTTTGACCACCCTCCCGTACACCGGACTGCTCCTTCCGAAGCCATGGTCTCCCGAACCCCCGACGTTCGTAGAAAACGTCTGGGTGGAGTAGCTCTGGTCGTAGTTGGACTTGTAAGCTTGCTCGTTGTTGTAGCTCTGTGCTTGCCTCACGTTCCGCGAGTGCTCCTCTATTTTCCTTTGAGGTGCCCCAAAATAATTAGATATTCATAATGCATCTACCTAATTCAATACTCTATCCATAAGTCTATGAATGTTACACAGACGGATCCCGTCTGACTGACAAACAAGCCTCGGGCTCAGGGATCTATCTCGAAGGGAGAAACATACGATAAAGCTACCCAGCAAACATTGAACTAGCGGGAGAAGTCCGGCCTAGTGCAGGCTAGTCTGGGAAAGTGACGATGCCGGGGTATTGGTAATGGGCCGATGATTTTCCTATGCCAAGTAACCATCAGTTAAAAATACAGTGATTGCCTTGTGATGGTAAGATGTCTGGAACTAATTGAATACTAGCGAGATCTGACCCTTTGCTGGCCAATTTCATGTTCGCTACTCGTCCCCCTGATGGATGTCCTGGGAACGTCTACGTCAACAACGAGCTGATCAATATTATATGTGACTAAGAGGGCTGACTCTCGTGAGTGATGATCGCGTACTAGTTTGTTTATGTCGAATCAATGTGGTCCTCTCTTTCCCTGGTGGTTATTTATGATGGCAGGATTATTCTTAATTGATAATAATAGATGACGGATTCTTCAATTATGATAATATTGAGTAAGTATCAATCTACCTACATAGTGTTTCGAATTCCATTATTAAATGCATGTGTTTGGTATCTCGTAACCTCATATACCTAATGATCATAATAATTGGAGTTGGCTTCACTTCTCCAAAAGCAACTATCATTTTTAACTCGTTTGTTGCTATCAAAAGCAATCTGAGGTTATGTGAACCTGTCTCTATATCAAAGAACTGAATAACAATTAGGTTTCAGCTATAGAAATACCTGTGCCAAGAAAATAATGAGAATTGAAAAGCTCCATGTTATCACGTCATCAGACTATATTATCAAGTTATAAACTCATGCAAGTCATAGGCCACTGATATATAACTAATGATGCATTTCAGGAGTACCTCACAACGAAGAATCAACTTAGAAGGAATGCTACCCAATAAGATGTAGATACCACATACCAACCAGTAAGCAGTCACTCCGAGAAGTTTCATCGTTGAAGACCAGAGAGGTTAAGAAGATATCATTGTGTCATTCATAAAATTGTTTTATTGGAATCTGGTATGTTTCTCATCTATGATGAGAGGGTTATATTGTGGAATAAAGAGGTACTAGACCTTTCAGATCCATTAGACCCTTAAAACCCCTACCTCTCTCCTACCTCGATAGTAACGTAACCAATGTCGTTAATTAGCCATTACAGTGGCTTGCTATGGAAAACTCAATGTGTCGATTATGTTGTCCTGGCCTTTTGCCGGGGAACTGAATATGATTGCTGGGAACCCAGCACTGGGACCAGCTGCCGGCCGCAGTGTACTGATATAATAGAGTCCCGCATATGGGACCATTTACTGGGCCGTTGATGTCAGGTATGGGAAAAATATATTAGGCCATTGATGCCCCATATCATGTTTGCTGGGTACGCTCTAGGAAAATACACCACAGTTTTCCAAGCTGAGGTGTTCGCCATCCTGGTCGTAGCAGAGAGGCAAGAGGTGAAAGAGGGACCAGAGGAGAAGATCTACATCTGTTCGGATAATCAGGCAGCACTCAAGGCTATCAGTCATCCCAGACCAAGCTCAGCATTGGTACAGGAATGTGGAAATGCCCTTGAGATATTAGCCGAATCAAAAGAAGTTGAACTGGTATGGGTCCCGGGTCACAGTGGGGTGCCCGGAAACGAAACAGCAGACGAACTTGCTAGGGCTGAATCCGCGGAGCCGTTTCTGGGACCGGAGCCTTTACTAGGTATAGCAAGGGGCCAAATTACGTCAGCCCTCGATGAATAGGCGGACAAGGCACTAGGAGAATACTGGAGAAATATCACAGGTTGCAGGCAGGCCAAGGAATTCATGGCCGGTCCAAGCAAATCAAGGAAGGAGTGGGTGCTTGGCAGAGACAGCCAAGTACTCCGCCTCCTCATAGGAGTACTCACAGGCAGACACCTATCACTTTTAGTCCAGTCATTATATCCAAATAACGGACCTTACCCGTGAATAATTTTTTAGTGGTTTTTTTTTTTCATAGGTGTCTCGGGGGGGGTCACTGGGAGTGTAAATTCAAAATGGCGACCAAATCAAGCTTTTGCGTATGTTTTTTTTTTGTTAAAGAACGGTTTTTCTTGAATAACTCGGCCATTTTTGATTCTACAGAAAAAGTTTGGGGACAAAAATTGTAGTAAATTTAGTTCTCTACAAGTTCGGTCCTCACAATTTTCAACTTTACGGCATAAATGAACAGAAACAAACTTGTAGAGAATCGAATTTTGGACAAATTTTGTCTCCACCTGTTCTTCCGAAAATCGATATTTTCGGAATTAAACCTAAAAAAAACGACTCATTCGAAATATCATTATCATCTCGTTTATTCTCAACTTTACAGCATAAATGAGAAGAAACAAAATTGTAGAGAATTAAATTTTGGACAAATTTGGTGAAAAAAATAGTTCCGGAACCATTTTTTCACACCGACATGACAGACAAGCTACCTGCGCGGAATAACCTCTTCATTTATGCCGTAAAATGCGAAGCATTGGAGATAATGATAATCTTTTGAATTTGTCGCGTTTTTCAGGTTTAATTCCCAAAATATCGATTTTTGGAACAAAAACGTAGTGACCAAAATTGTTTAGAATTTGATTCTCCACAAATTTAGTCCTCTCAATTTATGCCGTAAAGTTGAAAATAAACGAGATAATGAAAATATTTCGAATTTGTCGCTTTTTTCAGGTTTAATTTACAAAATATCGATCCTATCAGAAAAATTGTAAGGACCGAACTTGTAGAGAAGAAATTTACTACAATTTTTGTCCCCAAACTTTTTCTGTATAATCAAAAATGGCCGAGTTATTCAAGAAAAACCGTTTTTTAACAAACATACGCAAAAGCTTGATTTGGTCGCCATTTTGAATTTACACTCCCAGTGACCCCCCCGAGACACCTATGAAAAAAAAAAAACACTAAAAAATTATTCACGGGTCAAAGTCTATAATGACTGGACTATTTTATGAGAATAGAGGACAACCCCACTTGCCGCAGATGGGGGGAAGACGAGGAATCGTCACTCCATTTTCTCGGCGAGTACACAAACTCCACCAACAGGACGAATTGATCATATTAGAGTGGACGGAGATACTGGCCTTCATCAGAAGGTCAGGAAGATTCGTAAAGGGAATCTAGGTGAAGGAAGCGTAGATAATGTGGAGAGCAGGGGTTAGCAAAAAGGGCCCATCGGGGCCTACTTGCTCGGCTACAGCCTCCCCACCTACTACTGCTACTACTACTATATACATGAGTCTATGAATAGTTTCTAGTGATAAGATACCTATACCTACAGCAGCTCCCAAATATTTCGATACGTCTCGCATGCATTTACGATTTATGATAAAATTTCAGCACGTGCTCACTAAGAACAGAGAATTACCTCAATTGGCTTTTATATAAATATGAACCGTTGACTACTTATTGAGCTTTTACCTGTGGAGCTTTGTATAAGTGAACAACGTGGATTTCATTGATTAGTCAAGGTTTTGAATTGACTGAGCCGTTACTTGATGGAAATCCATGGTAAATGTAGAAACTTCACAAACCATAAGATTTCCACAAAATTCTCAAACACACGACATGTTTCGCTAACACAGTAGCTTCGTCAGGTGATATACTATTACGATGAACTATAAACTAATCTTGGCTTGCTTATATATCCTACTTTTCCAGCCTGAAGGATTAGTTACCTGTGGACAGGTTTAGTCAAGGCTTTTGGCCCTGTATTAGACACTCCTGAATGAAATTTTGGAATGATATCATTTTCACTGCATTGGGAATAGAAAGTTTAGTTCTTGTACTGGATTGCATCATTTTATCACATTTCGGAAATATTCAGGAAATATCATCTTCATCAGGACCCCCTTTAAGAAGGCCGTAGCTGCCTTATAGTTAGTTATTTTTCGACTTATGTTTATTGGAACTTTTCTTCCTATATTTGGTCGCAGAATCTGCTACTGAAGTATGGCAGGCTTATTTCGGGACACCCTGTATAAGTGTCATTTGATTAGTTACCATCGAGAACAGGGTGATCAGAATTCTGAATCTTGAACCACACTGTATATGTTCCAATTAGATGTCAGTAGATGATAAATCAAAAGTTGAGATAGGGACATTGAAGCCGTTTTGGCCAATAATGAATAGTTTGGACACAAAAAAATCCTAAAGTTGAAAAATCTCGATTTTGAACACCCTATATCTATGTCATCATTCCCGCTAGACCCCAAGGTTGATATATTGATGAAATCAGCTCTTCAGGGAGAATATAAAAATCCAATGAAATACAGGGTGTTTCATTTTAAAAAATCAAGTAGTACTCTGTAGATCGTTTGTTCCGAGCACCCTGTATTTTCTGATGCAACGGGAAAAAAATCCTGAAAAATCATTTAAGATAATTTTTAAAATTTTTAAATCGGTTCAAAAATAAGTGAGCTAGAGGGGGGAACATTTATGGTGAATAACCCTGTACAAGGGCTGATCAACACACCTTCTTCTGATCTCTGAGTCGAGCTGAGACTCGGTGAGGTTGGCCAACGACTCCAAACTCCTATCGGAGAGGATGTTCTTGGTTTTGGCGATGGCGTCCCAAGAGTCTCTCCTCGAAGTACCGGTGTCATTAGTGGTTGAAGACACTTTTATTATGGGACTGGTATCGACTCCTTCGGTCATAGAGCTGTTGTAAGTGCGACTTTCAGTGACTTTCTTGTCGTATCTAGAGGTTGAGTAAGTTCCGACATCTGGACTGGATCTGCAAGAAAACATATTCCGACTCGCAGTGAATAGTAAGTTAGGACTCATAAGAAAATAGGATTGTCAATTAAACTTATAGGTCAGTAGTAGGACTGGTAAAAGTAGGATTCATGGCAATCTGAGAAGGCTCACTGTGATCAAAATTCGTTCAATTAGATTTGTATAGACACTTTTACTTCCAGATTTACAAAGTGCGATTCAAAGAGTGACTTGAAGGTGCAGGAAGTTTTGACATCTGAACTCAAGAGGAATGAGAACATAGTCAAACTTGCGGTGAACAGTTAGTGGGACTCAATATCAATGAAAACATAGTCAAACTTGCAGTGAATAGTCGGTAGGAATCATCAGAAATAGGATTCGCAGTGTAGTAGGACTGGTAACATTGTGGATTTAACTTATAGGTCAGTAGTATAGGACTGGTAGAAGTAGGATTGATGGTAATCTGAGAAGGCTCACAGTGATCAAAATTCATTCAATTAGATTTGTATAGACACTTTTACTTCCAGATTTACAAAGTGCGATTCGAAGAGTGACTTGAAGGTGCAGGAACTTTTGACATCTGAACTCAAGATAAATAAGAACATAGTCAAACTTGCAGTGAATAGTTAGTAGGACTCAATATAGTGAGAACAAAGTCAAACTTGCAGTGAATAGTCGGTAGGAATCATCAGAAATAGGATTCGCAGTGTAGTAGGACTGGTAACATTGTGGATTTAACTTATAGGTCAGTAGTAGGACTGGTAGAAGTAGGATTGATGGCAATCTGAGAAGGCTCACAGTGATCAAAATTCGTTCAATTAGGTTTGTATAGACACTTTTCTTCCAGATTTACAAAGTGCGATTCAAAGAGTGACTTGAAGGTGCAGGAAGATTTGACATATGAACTCAAGATAAATGAGAACATAGTCAAACTTGCAGTGAATAGTTAGTAGGACTCAATATAAATGAGAACATAGTCAAACTTGCAGTGAATAGTTAGTAGGACTCAATATAAATGAGAACATAGACAAACTTGCAGTGAATAGTCATTAGGAATCATTGGAAATAGGATTTGCAGTGCAGTTAGGACTGGTAACATTGTTGATTCAACTTATAGGTCAGTAGTAGGACTGGTAGAAGTAGGATTGATGGCAATCTGAGAAGGCTCACAGTGATCAAAATTCGTTCAATTAGATTCGTATAGACACTTTTACTTCTAGATTTACAAAGTGCGATTCAAAGAGTGACTTGAAGGTGCAGGAAGTTTTGACATCTGAACTCAAGATAAATGAGAACATAGTCAAACTTGCAGTGAATAGTTAGTAGGACTCAATATAGTGAGAACATAGTCAAACTTGCAGTGAATAGTCAATAGGAATCATTAGAAATAGGATTTGCAGTGCAGTAGGACTGGTAACATTGTGGATTCAACTTATAGGTCAGTAGTAGGACTGGTAGAAGTAGGATTGATGGCAATCTGAGGAGGCTCACTGTGATCAAAATTCGTTCAATTAGATTTGTGTAGACACTTTCACTTTCAGATTTACAAAGTGCGATTCAAAAGAGTGACTTGAAGGTACAGGAAGTTTTGACATCTGAACTCAAGATAAATGAGAACATAGTCAAACTTGCAGTGAATAGTTAGTAGGACTCAATATAAATGAGAACATAGTCAAACTTGCAGTGAATAGTCAGTAGGAATCATTAGAAATAGGATTTGCAGTGCAGTTAGGACTGGTAACATTGTTGATTCAACTTATAGGTCAGTAGTAGGACTGGTAGAAGTAGGATTGATGGCAATCTAAGAAGGCTCACAGTGATCAAAATTCGTTCAATTAGATTTGTATAGACACTTTTACTCCTAGATTTATAAAGTGCGATTCAAAGAGTGACTTGAAGGTGCAGGAAGATCTGACATATGAACTCAAGATGAATGAGAACATAGTCAAACTTGCAGTGAATAGTTAGTAGGACTCAATATAAATGAGAACATAGTCAAACTTGCAGTGAATAGTCAGTAGGAATCATTAGAAATAGGATTTGCAGTGCAGTAGGACTAGATTTACAAAGTGCAATTTCAAGAATGACTTGAAGGTGCAAGAAGTGACATCTGTACTCAATATGAATGAGCACATAGCCAAACTTGCAGTGAATAGGCAGTAGGAATTATTAGAAATAGGATTTGCAGTGCAGTAGGACTGGTAACATTGTGGATTAAACTGATAGGTGAGTAACGGCGATATGAGAAAACTTACAGTGATCAAAATTCATTAAGCATGATTTGATAGGATTGGTATACCTAGAAACTTATTTCCGAAGTGCTATTGAAAAAGTGACATGTAGGTGCAGAAAGTTTTGACAAATGGACTTAATCTACATGAGAACATACATAGTCGAACTTGCAAGAAATATTCAATAGCACTGGTCGGAGAAGAATTATGATTTGTAGTGCAGTATGGTTGATGTGAAAACAGAGATTACCTGGTTTCTGGTAATCTGTCCATATAACTAGGACTCCTTGAATCGGCCATCCTCATGGAAGAAATCTTGCTCGTCATATCAAACTCCGTTTTCTTCGCAAACCCAGGACTAGACGTGTCGTACCTCTTCTCATTCAATTTCTTACTCGATATATAGTCCGGACTGTCTCTACCACGCATCGGGCTGTTAACCCTGTAAGTAGGACTGGCAGGCCGATGAGTGGGACTGGTGGGGCGGTAAGTAGGACTGGTTGGACGGAAAGTAGGACTGGTTGGGCGATAACTAGGACTCGGAGGTGCGTAGCTAGGACTGGGAGGAGCATAGCTGGGACTTTCGGTTCGTTGCTTGTGACTGGGGCTGTTGGTTCTGTGCATGTAGCTAGGGCTGTTGCGTTCGTTGTAGCTAGGGGAGCTAGACGACATTCGTTTCTCGGCTACCGTCTTCATGTGATAGTCCTGTGCGAACTTATGATTTTCTTCTAGAAGAGGACTTGCATTCTGCCTGTAACTGAATAGCTGAATAAGCTTCAACTACTTTCGAGCTTTGAAATAAGGGACTAACCTATTGTACATTGTATTTCTAGCTGTAGTAGGACTGGAGCTGGTGAAGCGGTTGGTAGGACTAGCTCTATAGGTAGAGCTGGGGCTGCTATTGTGGTACTTTGACCGCTTTTGAGTTCCTACACGCATCATGAAGGGAGAACCTTTGACGTCATATCCATTGAAGTATACGTAAACCTTCAATGAAAAAAAAATTATAGAGGGTGTGCTGGATTTTTATATTTTGGTTCTGACCCTGTGTTTTCCGGCATCTTTGGGCGTGAAATGGATTCTGTAGTGGAAGCTGTCGAGTTTTTCGACGTGGCAATGTACAGAGCGTTTATCGTGTACTATGTCGGCACAGATGTCACCAGGTACTCCAGCGGCTCTGCAGTCTAGGTCGATTGCGTGAGGGACCAACGGTAGGGCTCCTTCAAGGCCCGAGACTTTGGTGCCGTTGGGGTCGAAAACTGAGCACGTGAAGGGTCCACCCTACAATTTTGAAACGAAAATATAAACTATAGGGTGAACATTTATCTCGATTTCGATCAGGTTTCCACCTTTTTTTTTAGACTAATTTTCATCGCAGTGGGTTTGTTGTATGTATTATCTTGACAATAGATCTTTTTGAAAACAGAGAGTTTAAGATAAGTCATTTTTTTAAATGTAGCAATTCAAGATGTCCATTCAAATTCCATCTTTGAAGTTTCCTAGCTGTTTCTCTACAATATTTCAGCCGAATGAAGGAAGAAATGGAGAAAAAAAGCAACCAGAGCTCTACACCGGTCACTGCCTGAGAAGGTCTTCGGCGACTCTTTTGGCCAATGCAGGGGCTAACATGACTACTTTGAAGCGTCACGGAGGATGGAATTCCTCGACGGTAGCAGAAGTATACCTAGAAGGATCATTGCATAACAAAATACAAATTGCAGGAAAAATACAATGTTCTATGTGTCGGCGTCTTCCAGCACTATCAGCAGCTGTACCGATATGGGAGCATCTGGTTCCAATGAACCAACGAATTCTATATATAATATCAATGTGAATCCTGCTAGTAATAGTAATGAATAAATTATTTCCAGAAGTAGATTGGGAATCATCTTATTGCACCAACCTGTATCTGTTTGCCTTGATAAGTAATTTCGATTCTCCATTCTCCGGGCTCGTCAGGTTTGAAAGTGGCGCTGTTAGTACCATCTATCACCGTCAGAGGACAGTCCAGAGGCCTGCCAGTAGGGCCGTACGCTGTCACCAAGATGTCTTCTCTTCTCGGAGTCCCTGATGAATGCGAAATCACAATCAATGTAAGTACTAGCATAAATAAAGCAACTAATAGATACGTAATCTTGCAAACACAAGAAAGTATTCCTGATGATTACGAGAAAAATTTACTTAATTACTTAATGAAATGTTGCCCTAAGTAGTGCTATCATCGACAATTGCACTAAAATTTCATCATATTGAGAAAATACAAGCAATTTCTTGATCTCATTTCTTTATTATAAAAATAATAACAATTAGAATCGTTGTCATCAAAGCTATTTTAGAACCACTTGGACTTCGATCGGCTACAATGTTGTTATCTCTCTATTTTTGTGTTTGCTGAAACCCATCCGTTGCATTCACTAAAACTTTCCTCTTCCATTTACATTCACTGATAGCCACCTGTTGCGTTTACTGAAAGCCATCTGCTGTGTTAACTATGACCCACATGTTGGCGTCCACTGGAAGCAACCTGTTGCGTTTACTAAACATCACCTGTTACGTTTACTATAACCTACTTGTACCATTCACTCGAAGAGGCTTCTTGCATTCACTAACACCCACATGTTGGCGTTTACTCAAATCTACCTACTGCGTACTCAAACCAATTGGTGGGATTACTAAAACTCACTTGTTGGCGTGTAGTAAATGCTATCTGTTAAGTTTACTACAAACCACCCGTTGGCGCCTACTAAAACTGATCTGTTACGTTTACTAGAACCACTTGTTGGTGATTACTCAAATCTACCTTTTCAGTTCACGCAAAATCACCTGTTGCGATAACTCAAACTCACCTGTTGGCATGTACTAAGACCCACCTGTTACGTCTACTTAAACCACTTGTTGGCGTTTACTCATATCTACTTGTTAAGTTCACTAAAATCCACCTGTTGTGATAACTAAAACCCATATATTGGCATGTACTCAAACCGTTCAAACCCACCTATAACGTTTACTACAGACTACATGTTGTTACGTTTGCTAAATCCACTTGTTGGCGTTTACTAAGTCTACCTGTTGCGGTCACTGAAAATCACCTGTTGCGATAACTTGTTGTGTTGGCGTTACTATCACTGTTTACGATTGAAATAAGTATTCACGTTATTTTTTGTATATTATATTTTGTGTCTGGAAAGTTGGATTCCTCGCGAATCGATCTGGCAACAAAGCGTTGTAGCTGCATGGCGGTTATCAGAAGTGCACGTGAAGATGCTCAAAAAGGTGTCGATTATTAATCAATAATAGTGATATAGAAACAGTTTGTGGTCCATTCAAGGGTGTGAACACTGAACAGTCTCTCAACAATCTCAGAAAACGAAAACTGGCGCCCGTAAATAGATGCAGAGATAGAAGTATAACCAGGTGAGTGAGGTCATCCGATTTTCTGACAAATTCCGAGGCAAATTCATAAAAGCGTTGAACTATCGTGAACAATTACTAAAACCACTTGTTGCATTTACTGAAACCACTTGTTGCATTGACTGAAATTTCTTAATGGCGGTTGCTGGAACTCACCTGTTGCGTTCACCAGAACCTGGACTAGCGATCCAAGAGCGCAGGGAGCCATTCCTGGTGGCGCCACCTCCACCATAGGGGGCAGCACTCGGAAGTAGTGCCCGGTGAGAATTTCTTCGCCCTCGTATTTGACTATCAGCTCGTGCATACCCACCTTGGTGGGTGTGAATGTGCCTCTGCCCTGGCTGAGCTGTCTGCCATTGTAGATTTTGTTGTCCGGCCCTCGTATTTCCGTGGTCACTTTGGAGTATGACAGGGACGAGTCTAGGAGGGTTACTTGATAGTGGGTCTGGAAATATATTCAAAAATTTTCGATTTTGGAACGTATTCTACAGTAACAAGTAGTCTCATGTATTTCCAGCGCTCAATCAATATAAATATGTATGCTTGGTATTACTATCAGCAATAACCTTTCTTGGGAAAATCATGTGAGATCTGTTTCGGGCTATAGGAGCTATTTCACTTCCAGTCAGCTGCTTATGATCTATGAAGCACAGATCCGACCTGTCCTGGAATACTGTTCCTATATTTCGAGTGCAGCACCCAAACATACCCTGAAACTGTAGGATTCTGTCCAAACAAGGGCAATTCGTCTCCTGGGTGATGCCTCGCTCACAAACTCACTCACTTCTCTGGAACACCGTAGGAAAGTTGGCGATCTGGCTCTATATTTTATAGATATTTTCATGGACGATGCTCTTCTCAAATATCAACAATTGTTCCTCCCTTGGCAGTCCCTGCGAGATTAACACGTCGAGTTGAGGCTTCACACCCCTTCGTGGTCACTTTGGTGACCTGCAGAACATCTCTTTCCAAAGACTCGGTCATCCAACGAACAACGAGGCTCTGGAACACATTGCCAAGGGAGGTGCTTCCCGAGGCATATAACCTCCAGAAATTCAGGGAGAACACCAATTCCTACCTTATTTCTCTTGGTTCTCACGATGTTTCCTGAACATTACAGGATATCCCTTTTCGTGGGAACCAGAACATGAAAAAAAAACAAGATTATTTTTATGCAAAAGTCGTCCATTTCAATTCCAAAATAGCTCTTGAAATTGACGTTTTTATTACTGACCCAAAAATAGGTATGTTGCTGCCAACACGTTCAGTTCCTAGGAGCTGAAGTTGAACTCATAGGAACACTAATACCATCCACAGTGACTCTAATAGGAACTAAAAAGGCTGTACTAGGTCATCAAGAATAAATAACATAGGTTAGTATTCATTATGGTATAGTCAACAAGAAACTGAAACACAATCACATAGTCAATTAATTTGTGATATTTATATTGGAACAACAATTAAAACAGCCTTGAAAATTGAAAAAACCTTATCTGTAAATTAATCCACAGTATTTTTTTCAAAAAATCACTTCGAAGAAAGAAAGAAAAGAAAAAAGAAAATTGGATTTAGGGATTTGAACCCACAACCTTTATTGATCTCAATAAAAATTATAAAGAATACAGGGTGTTATTTGAAAATGCGAAACCGAAGGAATGAATAAATGAATAAATCTGACCAACAAATCTTCAATAACGAAATCCACCACATCAGAAAGTTCTTCAACTCAACTCCTGTCAGAAAAACTTCATTGATAAAGAAATCTACCAAAATGACAACAAACAAAATGCACCACAACAAAAACAACAAAATCCAGGCATATCTGAAAATATAAATCGTGTTGATATGTTTTCAGTGAAAGGTGAACAGAATGATCTCAAAATTTGACGATTAGAGTTACAGGGTGTTTTATTTGAAATTTTGAAAATCATTTGAGCCCAGTACTTTGAAACTATTCGACGTGTTATTGTCATATTTGGTGGAAAGTGTAAGTACTATACATCCTACGGAATTATGTTGAATAAACGTTTCGGGCGTCTACCAGAGGCGTACGACAGGGCGGAATTGAAATTCTATTTCGATTCTTCAACAATTTTTACGTAGATATTGTACTCCTTCTCCATGGCGATTAAGTCATTATTTTTCGAGATATATCAACTTAAACATAAAGCTGCAAAGTTATTTTGAATTTGATGTGTATTAATTATCGATATTTTAGATCAATGGTTTGCATTAATCAATAAAATGCAACAGGAGCTGTTGCAGGGTGTTTTACATTCTTGAATATAATAAATAATTAAACACCTTGTAACAGCTTCTGTCTGTTATGTTATCATGTATATAAATTTCAATAATTTAATATAAATTGCTTCAACATGATTCATATTTACCTTGTTTCTAGACTCGACTTTAGGTTCACTATATATTATTATAAACGTTACATTCTCATCATGTTCACTGGGAAGAAATAAACAATATAATCACGATAATTAATAGTAACTTGACGGTGTAAGTTAGCCTTCAACAGGAAATTCAATATACGTGTCGGAAATAATGATATGTCGGTAAGAACCCTGACACACGGTACATTATTCAGCGCAATATGACCATGACTCTAGATCTTCTTCGCCAAATCATAAAATATTTGGGTGTCATTGATATTTGACTAGAATTTGCCTGCATAAAAAATTGGAAGTCATGGTCATAACAAAGTCACGGAAATGAAAATTGAGTGTCATATTCGACTGAATAGTTGCCAAAATTGGCCACATAAATTGGGTGTCGTCATAATTAGAGATCCCTTCTTGAGATGGAAACAGAATGTCATGAAAATTAGTGTCCTTGAATGTCATTCAATGATGAAAGTTTCCAGAAATGGGAAAAAGATGGACATTCACAGTGGAAACTAAATATATAGGTACATTCTGGATTCATATTAGATCCAATAAAAAGTGGAAGTCATGAAAATTGGATATGATAAAAAGTAGAGTAAAATCGCCAAAAGTGTGTTAATTGTGTTTATTCTATAGGTATCTATCGTTTCTGACAGTGTTCATAGTTGATTGAATTTCGGTGAGAAATTTTTTAGGTGAGTTTATTAAATTTATATTTGGACCACATTTGAAAGTGACTTTATTTCATATTGTTGTTCAGTTCAGTAGATGAATGATGTATGAAATATCCATTGTAGATAAATAGCGCTCAATTTAGATCAGTCAGCTTTTCGCTTTTTTTGCCAATAGGAGCACTCCGGTAGACTACTACGTCTCCATTTTCCGAAATTTCTCGATTTTCACCACAGATTCGTTCATTTCGATATCGAATTAGTCTATGTGAATTTTTTCAGATTTTTAATAGGCCAAATAAAAATTTTCATTTCCCCACCTAAGACTTCCATACGATATAGTCACCGAGCCATCTTCGGACGGCCGAAAGTGCCAGAAAACGGTAAAAATTCACGCGAATGATCAATTTTCCAGTAGAAAATGACCTTCTGAAAAGAATGAGGCCATAATCAGCCCCGTAGGACAATAAATAGTTTTTGAGATATCGGCACTCAACGTAAGCTTTTCGATTTTTTGCCAATAGGAGCACTCCGGTGGACTACTACGTCTCCATTTTTCTAAATTCCCTAATTTCCACCACAGATTCGTTGATTCCAATATTGAATTAGTCCATGTGAATTTTTTCGGATTTTTGATAGGCCAAATAAAAATTTTCATTTTCCCACCCAAGACTTCCATACGATATAGTCACCGAGCCATCTTCGGACGGCCGAAAGTACCAGGAAACGGCAAAAATTCACACGAATTATCGCTTTTCCAGTAGAAAATGACCTGTTGAATCGAATGAGACCATGATCAGCCCCGCAGGACAGATAGTTTTTGAGATATCGGCGCTCAAAGTCAGCTTTTCGATTTTTTTGCCAATAGGAGCTTTCCGGTAGACTCTACGTCTCCATTTTTCAAAATTCCCTGATTTCCACCACAGATTCGTTTATTCCAATATTGAATTAGTCCATGTGAATTTTTTCGGATTTTTGATAGGCCAAATAAAAATTTTCATTTTCCCACTTAAGACTTCCATACGATATAGTCACCGAGCCATCTTCGGACGGCCGAAAGTACCAGGAAACGGCAAAAATTCACTCGAATTATCGCTTTTCCAGTGAAAAATGATCTGTTGAATCGAATGAGACTATAATCAGCCCCGTAGGACAGATAGTTTTTGAGATATCGGCACTCGAAGTAAGCTTTTCGCTTTTTTTGCCAATAGGAGCATTCCGGTAGACTACTACGTCTCCATTTTTCAAAATTCCCTGATTTCCACCACAGATTCGTTCATTCCAATATTGAATTAGTCCATGTGAATTTTTTCGGATTTTTGGTAGGCCAAATAACAATTTTCATTTTCCCACCTAAGACTTCCATACGATATAGTCACCGAGCCATCTTCGGACGGCCGAAAGTACCAGGAAACGGCAAAAATTCATTCGAATTATCACTTTTCCAGTAAAAAATGACCTGTTGAATCGAATGAGACTATAATCAGCCCCGTAGGACAAATAGTTTTTGAGATATCGGCACTCAAAGTAAGTTTTTCGCTTTTTTGCCAATAGGAGCATTCCGGTAGACTACTACGTCTCCATTTTTCAAAATTCCCTGATTTCCACCACAGATTCGTTCATTCCAATATTGAATTAGTCCATGTGAATTTTTTCGGATTTTTGATAGGCCAAATAAAAATTTTCATTTTCCCACCTGACTTCCAAACGATATAGTCACCGAGCCATCTTCGGACGGCCGAAAGTACCAGGAAACGGCAAAAATTCATTCGAATTATCGCTTTTCCAGTAAAAAATGACCTGTTGAATCGAATGAGACTATAATCAGCCCCGTAGGACAGATAGTTTTTGAGATATCGGCGCTCAAAGTCAGCTTTTCGCTTTTTTTGCCAATAGGAGCTTTCCGGTAGACTACTACGTCTCCATTTTTCAAAATTCCCTGATTTCCACCACAGATTCGTTCATTCCAATATTGAATTAGTCCATGTGAATTTTTTCGGATTTTTGATAGGCCAAATAAAAATTTTCATTTTCCCACCCAAGACTTCCATACGATATAGTCACCGAGCCATCTTCGGACGGCCGAAAGGACCAGGAAACGGCAAAAATTCACTCGAATTATCGCTTTTCCAGTAAAAAATGACCTGTTGAATCGAATGAGACTATAATCAGCCCCGTAGGACAGATAGTTTTTGAGATATCGGCGCTCAAAGTCAGCTTTTCGCTTTTTTTGCCAATAGGAGCACTCCGGTAGACTACTACGTCTCCATTTTCCGAAATTTCTCGATTTTTACCACAGATTCGTTCGTTTTGATATCGAATTAGTCTATGTGAATTTTTTCAGATTTTTGATAGGCCAAATAAAAATTTTCATTTCCCCACCTAAGACTTCCATACGATATAGTCACCGAGCCATCTTCGGACGGCCGAAAGTGCCAGAAAACGGTAAAAATTCACGCGAATAATCGCTTTTCCAGTAGAAAATTACCTTCTGAAAAGAATGAGGCCATAATCAGCCCCGTAGGACAAATAGTTTTTGAGATATCGGCACTCAAAGTAAGTTTTTCGCTTTTTTTGCCAATAGGAGCATTCCGGTAGACTACTACGTCTCCATTTTTCAAAATTCCCTGATTTCCACCACAGATTCGTTCATTCCAATATTGAATTAGTCCATGTAAATTTTTTCGGATTTTTGATAGGCCAAATAAAAATTTTCATTTTCCCACATAAGACTTCCATACGATATAGTCACCGAGCCATCTTCGGACGGCCGAAAGTACCAGGAAACGGCAAAAATTCACTCGAATTATCGCTTTTCCAGTAAAAAATGACCTGTTGAATCGAATGAGACTATAATCAGCCTCGTAGGACAGATAGTTTTTGAGATATCGGCGCTCAAAGTCAGCTTTTCGCTTTTTTTGCCAATAGGAGCACTCCGGTAGACTACTACGTCTCCATTCTCCAAAATTTCTTGATTTCCACCACAGATTCGTTCATTTCAATATCGTATCAGTCTATGTATTTTCTTAACTATTTAACCTCCGAAGTGATATAGATGGCAATTAGGGAATAGTATTCCATAACACCCGACATTATTATTAAATACTCCGGAAAATTAACAAAATTAAAAACAACTCCACAAAGTGAGACGTGGAATGGGGAAGATAAAAAAAGTGCAGTGATAGCAGTAAGAAGCAGAAGAATGGAAATATACATTCTTCCATCCACTATAGTGGGTATGAATAGTGGATACAAAAGCCCTAATGCATGTTTTGGGTACACGAACTGTGTGCCGATGCTGAGAACGATAAGTACATTTCCAATTTTTTTGTTAGTAGACATCAGACATAGCTGCTATAAGTATTCCATAGTTATATTACCCGACCATTATTTCGCCAAACAGAAATGTAGTATTTTTCAATAATTCAAAATATTATTTCTTTGTTTATATTCATCTGAGTTGATTATCATAATTCAGTCTGATAAATCTTTTGGCAACACCTTCAACATTCAGATTTTATTCAATACTTTCCGGAACAACTCGAAAAATAAAAACGGTATTCCATAATCCACGACTTTATTATACTATGAGAATTGAAAGAAATCAAAATTAGGCTCTGATGGTCTTTGGTAGCCATAAAAATTGATGCAATGAAGATCTTGATTATTGGCTTAAAAATCACTGGATGAAAATTAGATATCGAAGAATCCATACTTTGCGATCAGTCCTACAAATTAGATGTCATTCAAATGGTTGTCTTATAAGTGATTGTGAATTCAAAAATAGGATGAAGAAAGTCGGTTCACAAAATTTAAATAAAAGTTCATGGCGTCATGAAAATATCCAGGTCCTAGAAAACTGAAAGAAGCCATTGAGAAAGTACAATAATTTTAGATTTGTAAAAATTCACTTGATATTCACTTACCGGTTCTCCCACCCTTCCAGAGGTGGAGTTCAGGGTAGCATTCATGAGATCGTGCAGAGGAGGTCTTTCAGGTACCCATTGAAAATGAGCAGCATACGCCATTACACCTAAGTGCTCCACGTGACTATCGGCCATATCCTTGGCCGATAACACTGGTTGCACACCTATAGACAAAACAAGGAATTTGAGAAAATAACATTTTTGAAGTCAAGCTTTTATAAAAATTCAATATTGATGTAAGAATCATAATTTCCGACTCAGAAAACCCCCAGATACCAATTTTGAATAAATTGGATCATAATTACATAACTCGTTCGCCATATTGGATCCGTCATCTTGAATTTCCCAATTTTTACGAAAGAATCATAATCTCCGACCCCAAAAGCCCCTAGATACAAATTTTGAATAGAATCACAAAACTCGTGCACCATATTGAAGACGCCATCTCGACTTTCCCAATTTCGACAGAAGAATCACAATTGCTGACCCCAAAAACCCCCAGATACCAATTTTGAATAGAATCAGATCATAATTACTAAACTGATCCGCCATTTTGGAGCCGCCATTTCGTTTTCTTCTCTAACAAAAATTTTATGATGCATTGTTACCAAAATTATGTACACCTGCCAAATTTCAAATCAATCGAACGATCAGAAGTGTGTCATATTCAACTTGAAAGATTTTATTACAGACACTGGGACAGGCTAAATAGAAGCTTGTGAAAAATAGGTATTTAAGGGGAAAATTTCCACATTTATCGAGTGCAAAAAGCAAATGCGTGAATTCGATTCAAATGTGCCTATAACTGAAATATAGTAAGAACATAATATGAATGAATCCATTTGTTTATAAAGTATGCAGTAATACTTCAGGAAAAACCATTAGAATATCAATTTCATGGAACGTATTCAAACATAGCGTCCTGCGGCAAACTCCTCTATCCAGTACTAACGTCATAATCCCTTCTCCAGTGTTGCCAGCTGTTTCATTATAAGAAAATACCAAATACGTCTTTTCACATTTTTTAATCGATCCTACTGTGAACTGTTCAGATAATTCGATATTCAATGATGTAGTAAATGTTATACCAATATATGTTATCCCCCATTGCCAATTCTACAGGTTTATAGCTATTCTCACCTAATCTTTTGCCAGCTTCGATAGCTTGATTCTGATTGGCTTCCCAATACGCAGGATCGCTCCTGAGTTTTTCTGGATGTTGTGCAGAGCCACCGAGTGATTTGATTATCTCACTTATCACTTTGCCATCGTTCCATTCAGTCTGAAAGGAAACAAATCTCTTGAGATCCGCATTCATTCAAAATATGAAATATGTATAATATCGACTAATGAGAGAACAGGACGACTTACCCAGTAACCTAGTTTTTTATCACTTATTAAAACCCATTAATGCCCAGCATCCTCGTTTGAGGACGGCGTGTTTGGGTAGGGATAAAAAGCATGTGTGTCGAAGAATATTGTCGCAATGGTAACAGAGGGTTAGTATTGAACTCATATCAGACAGGAGTGTGCGTCTTTGCATTTTATTGCTCAGGGTATTACGTTTTTATGGACAATAGAATGCATTTACACATATGGATATTCAAGAAAAATCAAAATGTTGTGTTGAAATTTGGTGTCCTCGTATGAGGACGCTGGGCTTCAGACTATAACATTACTTCATTATTCTTACATCTATGAATTTCAATATTTTTTTGTTTCCATTCTAGGATATGAGCCTCAAATATTTCGGAAACCTTAGGCTCTCTAGGAGTCTAGGGAGATAATGATTATTGTTATAATTTTTCACTCTATTTTGGAAAAAGTCAGGGAAACGAATCTGAGCCTCTAGGTACAAGAGTTGTTCTGAATATGTTAAGAATTGTAGACAATCCTAAGTTATATATGGTGTATTTCGATAATTTTTTCAAGAGCTACAATCTACTTTTTCATCTGAAAGATATGGGATTTTGTGCTACGGGTACAGTGCGAGAAAACAGAACAGCTAAATGTTCCATGAAATCATCAAAGATCCTATAAAATGAGCCGCGAGGCGCATTCGACCGGTATGTCCCAGCGTCCTCAAACGAGGACGGCATTTTTTTTTAAACTAACATGGGCTCTTCACCTCAAAATGAAGTTATATTAGGAAAATGAAATGAAAATTCGAAACAATAATGGGCCTTAATGGGTTAAGGCACCTATAAAATAGTAAAACATCAACATCAGCAGAACGGTAGGGTTGAATTCAATAAATAAACAGTCGAGTAAACAGTGCTGGAACTGGAAAGTCTAGCTAGACGTACGCATATACTTACAGTAAAGTTGCTGACGGACTTTTCCAACCTCGAGTTGACCCATTTCAACGTGGCATGGAAACCTGGCGAGCCAGGTTTCATGAAGTAGGACAGATAGGTCATCCCTGAGAGCTCGTCCAACCAAGGAGATGCTAGGTATTCAGGCTCTAAAACTGCTGGTATGCCAAGATCTTTTTGGGCTATGTCCATGGCACGACGACAATTTTCGATGCTGTTATTTTTATCTGAAAATAATTATTATAATGATAAATAGTTATTTATTATACGAGGGAAAAAAGTAGTAGATTTTAGCTCCAGGTTGTGTTATCTCCCGACGCGTAGCGGAGGGAGACAAAAAACCGTGAGCTAAAATCTAATATTTTTCCCGTGTATAATAAACTATTTTTTTCTGTGACTGATGAAAGGACGAATCAATATTGAGAAGATATTACATTATTTTCAAATCTGAAAATTATCGACGTGAAATTTTAAGTTTTTAACAGTAGGGACACCTGCGTTTTAGGCATCTTTATCATTCTTTCGAAGTAATCAAATATCTGATGTCACTTCTGTCAGTCTAATTCTGTGATTTGATTTCAAAACATTGCGAATTTAGTGGTTGTTAAGTAAGTACTCACTTTTTTCCCAAGGGAAAAAAGTAATTTATGAAAAGTGACATTTTATAACCTGCCAACAGAGATGAAATGCCAAACTTTTTTCCCGTCACAGAAAAAAAGAGTTTATTGGAGCTGATTTGTGATTTTGATCGCTGACCATGATTTTCAATATTGAACTGTGATTTTGGAGATTAATAGGTATTCTTAACTATTGTACTTTCGTATTGGACATTGATAATGATAAGTTGAATGAAAAAGAATTGTTTCCAATAGAATATCTTGTCCTAAGGTCAGACAGATCGTACGTTTGATCAGCGCATTCATGAACATAAGATGAATTTTTTGAAAAAGAAAACAAATTGAACATACGCCAACCATATATTAGAAGAAAACCATAGTTTGATGATAATTTCGAAATTCTACATTTAGAATATAAAGGAGTAAAACTCAATCAATATGAGTGTTTCATATTTTGTCTTTGTGACTTCACCTATAGGTACACTATTTTAGCATTGTAATTATTTGTAACCATTTCTTCGTTTGACTAGTCTGATAAGTTTTGTACATTGTGTATGAGCTATACCTTGTATGATCTTTGATTGACGAATAAATTTATCTATCTATCTATCTATCTATAGAAGGAAATAAAAAGTTAGGCAAGCCAAGGTAGTTTAGTTCATTGTACTAGTATTTCACCTGATGAAGCTACTGTGTTAGCAAAACATGTCGTGTGATTGAGAATTTTTTGAAAATCTTATCGTTTGTGGAGTTTCACATTTCCCTTTATACTTTTTGTTGATTTGTGAAGTGCAATCAATTCTAACTCAAAGTCATTTGGGTTTGACGAACGTGTAATTTTTTAAAATTCTTTTCCAAGCAACATGGCTGCATGAAAAGATCTTGGACACCCGGTATATTGAATGATGTTCCGAAACATTATTATTAATGTACTTGCCTTATGGTATTTATTCATTTATTTATTTGTCCATACAGACCTAATGGCCTATTTACATGGATCAATTCACAAAAATATGTTTGCATTTTATAGCAGAATAGTATTTTTCTTCATTCATACTATTATCAGAACCTTACGGTCGTTTTTCTTACCTAATTTTCGCCAATGCGGGAACAGTCCAGGTCGGCAATAATCGACTAGAGCCGATAACAAAATACCGGAGTTCCAGTCTGTCGTAAGGTTGTTGACTTTGCATTCCGGAAGGACTGCTTGCAGCCAGGATAGCATCAACTTTCTGGGAGGGAATTTCGATCTGCCTATTTGGTATCGCACGATGAGGGACCAGATCAGGCCGAGGATGAGTTTCAGGTTGCCATTGACAATGTCAACGTTACCTACAAAAAAAAATTATGATGCACTGAGGAAAATTCCTATTAACCATCGTCAGAAATCGAATTACCCCAGCAAGAAACTCTAATATGGCATAGGGGACAAGCGAGTTATCACCTGTGATTATAAAGTCGACTTTGCTGATTATAACCCACCTGCGATTATCAGATATAGAACCTTGCTGCCACTAGCAAGTGCATCTGTATATTGCTATTAGACGATATTTCTATAGTAGGTATCTGACTTTGCTACCGCTAGTGAGTGCATCTAATAATGGGAGTTGGGCAATGTTATAATCGTAGGTAGGGAACTTTGCAACTCTTGATGGGTGGTGATCATATCGATAGTTGCATGACCTTCTTACTGTACCCAACTAGCATTTATAGTCGCGATTACGTAATTACGACTATTGGGTCGACTATTAAGTAATATTTACTAGTTGCGGTTACGTTATAATTACGTCGTTACTACGTATTTACGACCAAAATGGGGAACAAATCACGAGTAATTATTACGGTTTGCCGACGTAGCGGGAACTCACACAATTACGTAATGCTTACGACCCGTCGACGTCGAAATTACGTAAAGATGTAGTAAATTTTCCTACCTGACTTTCTATTTCTTTTCCACTTCATAAAAATATTATTTTCTCTCTTTATTATTCTTTATTTCATCCATGAAGTTCACATTCACGAAAAATGAACAAGTCCAATATGCCTAACCATTCAATAAATAATACAAGGACAAACACGCGAAATAATTGATACTCGAACTTGAAAAATTCGAACAACATTCAGTTTTTCGATAAATGTGATGATTTTGCCTCGAAATTCAAGATGCGCCCACAAAATACGGCTCATTTCACCAAAAATATGGTTTTATTTCATTCGGCTATTTTTCAAAAATCATCGTAAATCATGTTAATTTCCATTATTATGCAATTTGTGATCGAACGAATGCTATTATTCTTCATAAAATGATGTTTATCAACAAGAAAAACCAAAATCATTTCCTGTTCAAATGGTTATCACATCAATCAATATGGCTTCCAATCGAAAATGAATCAGAAAGTTACTTTTGGAACTCGTCAGTTATGATAACCTATGTATTGGTAACTTCAACTGAATATAATTACCGAAAAGTTGTTTCAACTATGAAGGAATTGTTTGAGTAGGAATTACCAATATGTTACTTGAAATATCACCAAGAATTGACTAAATTATTAGGTGATCGATCAAGTAACGACAACGTCGTAGAAACCTAATTGGTGACCATAGAGTAATTGCAACTGTGAAGCCTTCTTGGGGTGGTAAGCGTTACCGTAATAATATATCCAAAGTTCCGAAACCTTAAGAGTAGTTTTGAGGAGTGACAGTTTCGAAATAGTTACTTCGTAATAAGCCATGAGAATTTCTCACTTTGAAGTTATTATCTAGTGTAAAAACTACGTAATTTTCACTCACTAAATAACTATCACTGACATTTATACTATGAAGTTCTGAAATAAGTGATAAATACGTTATTATCACTAAATATAGGTAATAGTTTCTTGAACCATGGTGCCTGTGACTGAAAATGCTAGTTGGGTAGTTATTCAGTTATTTTTCAGGATTTTTGTCATCAAGAAAGGTGAATATTTGACTGATTTCCAATTTCACTTCCCATAATTTCCACCCTGAATAACAATTTATTGATTCCTAAAGAAAATATCGGACCAATGATCTTCGAAATTCAATAGATCAATTGATGCATGCCCCTCAGGAAAAACAAAAGGTTTTTGAGTAACTGATGAAAAAAAGAAATTTTCTGAAACTTTCTGAAACCATTGTATTTTGAGAACTAGGCAAGTTATTACAGATGCGTAATGGAAGACGAAATGTTACCAGTAAAATCATTCAAATTCATAGCCTGGGCATTTTTGCTAACAATACGTTTTTAGACCACATTCTATAGAGAACTCGATAGAGAAGCTGTGAAATATATTTTTTATGGTATATACCAAAAAGAAGGAAATGTTGAATGTGAAATATTTGAATTACAGTCGAACTACCTCGAAAAAACTAACCTTCATCATTCCATCAATTCTGGTAATAGCTGAAGCACTCAGATCTTCGAAAGCACTGAAAGGGACACAACAAATTCTTTTTTTTTTAGAAATGTTTCCATTCGAATTCAGATTCAGATTTTAAATAATGAATTGAATTCAAGAGGGGAAGTATTCGTAACTGTCGTGTCGTCGAGATTGTCGTCCTGTACATGGGTTTGCATCAAGAGCCCAACAGTGAATGATTGATCAAGCAAGATGACTGACAAATGCTTTTATAGAGGGGGAAAAATCAGCAAAATATCGAATAACGATAAGTAGGCGCTAAATAACCTCAAGTAGGTTCGTCAAATATTATTTTCGTGGCAGACTGACAGTTGTATTATTGGTAGTGAGTGCAGATCTATGCGATGGACCTCGTAGCCACAAGAATATCACTCACTAGTAGTAGTTCAGCTAGACAATTATAAAAAAAATCATGCTGTCCCAGAGTGGCTGCCTAATAGCGACAGCAGTATACCTTCCTGTGACATAAAATTCACTTTCAGCAAAGTCGTTATTGCTATCATAGGATTTCAAGGTGCTGCTTCTATTCAAAAATGTATAACGGTAATATGATTTCTTGTAATTGTAGCAAGAAATATCTCAGCAAAAACTCTAATAGCACAATTTTCCTCAGTGTGGTTCCCGGAAATATGATCGAAAACCATTTGATCGATATAATTCACGTTTTGCAGCCAACCGTAAATAACTCCGTTTACAGTCGTAACCCTGTTTGCCGGAAGGTTGTGGAAGGAAATCTGACCCTGAACACCCTGTATATCCCCTGAGCCAGCAATATTTTTATAGGGCATGTTAGGCTAAATTTCCATACTTTGGTCATTGGTGTTTACCAACTGTAGTTCAGAAATTTCCCGTGCTCAGTGAATCACCTGGTATATGGTAACAATAGATAAATACTGTTATTCAAAACCAATCCGAAGAGGCATGAAGAATCATCATCATTAGGCATGCTGTCAAGATGGAACTTAATGTTTATTTAAAACATTTAGTGTAAATAATTATCCACAGTGAAATTGGGCATTGAAATTTCTAGCGGTGGTTTACTTCTCATAAACTGAGATTAACAAGAGCTACTGCCTGTAGGTATACCATACAGGGTGTTTACAGCGTTTCCTTCTATGCAAAATAATGATGAATTGAA